GTGCCTGTTTGTTTCTACGTTGAAACTCAATTTGCAGGACCTACGAAGCATGTTAATGGAGTTTTTCCAAAGTAAAAAAAACAAAAATCCTTTCTGTCAACTGAGCTTTCAAGCATGGAAGCAAATGAACCTGGAGTGGGTTGGGGAACAAGATGGGTTTCATTTTTTTCTACCTGGTGTTTGTACATCCCAAGTTTATTTGCATATTTTGAATCCCCAAATGTTATAAAATTATACAGTTGATGTATATAATGGTGAATTCAAAAATTATCTTTTCTGTGGTGGAGACTAATCAATGGATATAATTTGATATGATACAAACTTATATTACTGGATGTATAAGCAACATTTAATTGGTTGATCCTCTCTAATAAGCTGTGCTGAATATATCCCCATATCATTCTATTTGTGTTCCAAGATATAATTGTTTATTGTATGTATTTTGTTTAATTTTATTTTTGCATGTGCATATACCAGAATGATGTGAGTGATGTTCCGGACCTAACATTTAGCATGGATGCTGATGAAGAAAAGCTCATACTTTATGAGAGGAATCAGGTAAACAAGCATTTTATTTTGGTCTATCATGTCTTGCTTATGAGCTTAAACATAAAAATATTATGCTTGTTCCATAAAATATTGTTAAAGCTTTAATCTGACATTTTTTATGAGGTAATTTAATCATATTAATTCAAAATTTATGAATTCTCCTTTCCATTGCTTTTGCCATCTCTCCCAAAATTGGGAAATAGGTCACTGATTATGAGCTTAAACCTGGAGGAAGGAACATAAGGGTTACAGAAGAAACAAAGCACGAGTATGTTGACCTTGTTGCTGAACATATTCTGACAAATGCCATCCGTCCTCAAATTAATTCCTTTCTAGAAGGTTTTAATGAATTGGTTCCACGAGAACTTATATCCATATTTAATGACAAAGAGCTTGAACTACTCATAAGTGGTCTTCCAGAAATTGATTGTGAGTTGGTTTTCTCATTGCTTAAATTATGTAGTGTATATATTTAATCTCTTGAAGCATATGAAATGGTGTTATTCTCCTTACAGTGGATGACTTGAAGGCCAATACTGAGTATACAGGCTATACAGTGGCATCAAATGTTGTTCAATGGTTTTGGGAGGTGGTCAAAACTTTCAACAAAGAAGACATGGCAAGATTACTGCAATTTGTGACTGGAACATCAAAGGTGATTTAGTTGGAACTTGTCGTGGTGCTTGTTGTCCTAGAATTATATTGTCATCTTTGGGCAAAAATGCAAGTTTTATTAGGGTATTTAGTATCCTTTGAATGCACTTGGTAACATCTGTAGCCTTTCTAACATGTTTTTCAGGTTCCTTTGGAGGGTTTTAAGGCCTTGCAAGGCATTTCTGGTCCTCAAAGGTTTCAGATTCACAAGGCATATGGAGCTCCTGATCGATTGCCATCAGCTCATACCTGGTAAGTAAATACCATATATAGTGTCTGTCAATATCCAGATGATTACAAAATTACAAAATGTCTGCATATTGAGTTTCAGCCATCCTAATTCCTTATTTCCTCTTTGCTTTTCAGCTTCAATCAACTAGATCTTCCAGAGTATACCTCCAAGGAACAGCTTCAGGAACGTTTGTTACTTGCCATCCATGAAGCTAGTGAAGGGTTTGGTTTTGGTTGATCTGAATTTTTGTGTGATATTTTTTGCACAGCAGTTCCACCATCGTGTCTTCCACCCGTCACTTGGAGGTCAGTTATCCCTTTCCTTTTCTTACATACAAATATATTTTTAAGTAGCTACTGTATGATAATCGAAGGAATATTTTCATGTGCTAAATTTGTTAACTAATATTCTCATAGATCTTTGAAATGCTTGTGGTTTGTTTCAAATACCATTCAAATCCAAATGAAGAATTTATATCTTCACCCCCTCCCCACAAAAAATGAGAGGCACTGTGGTTTATTCTCATGTTTCATTTCTTGGAAAAAAGTAATCACTTATGGTTCTGTTCTGTTTGTTCAGAAGATGGAACTCGTCTGCGCTTTTATTCTATTGGGGGCTCTATTGGTAGCATCACAATGAGGCATTCTGACGCTGGTGATCATTTTATTCTGATGCTCCCCCTGCAAAAATGGCTAGAATATTTTTTTACTTGTATAATTCTGCCATGCCTAGTTTGGGAGCTTTCAATGGACAGCCTCCATACTGTGTCAAGCTTTTGCAATCTGCTCCAATCTTATTTTATATATGTAGTTTCTATGGCCAAACAGCCTTTCATAGTTCTATAATTTACTAATAAGATTGAGGATGTACATATTCTGGAATACATAATTGATGCTTTTGCTCCAGTAAGAAATTTTTCGATTCATTAAAGAAAACTGTGAAAGATGGCGTATGTAGTGCACAAAAATACAGTGATAGCACGATGGAATATGGTCACTTAGTTGAGAGGCACTGCAGCAGTACGGCTGTCGTATTCCATGAATATATAGATAAAGAAAAACTTGATTCACTGTCTTGTACAGATACCCATTTAAAATTTGGGCTTGATTTGTTAAAAGATGAAGAACGTGATAAATGCAAAAAATACTTATATTTAAAGATGCACAGGAAGAAAGGTTAAAATTTGTACTTAACTGAATTAGGGATGGTTTCTTATCTTGTAAAGCCGAAAATACACGAGTTTGGTCAAAATTTCATTGACGCTGATGGAAAACAATCGAACAAATTCAATTGGAATTGTCCTGATATCTTTCATTTTCATTTCTAAAATTGCTTGTGTTTGTGCGTTGTACTTTTTTTTGTGACGTTTGGTGTAGTGACTTCAGTATTTGTATTGTTTGGACGGTTCTTGGTATGTCAAGTGCACCTTGTGGTCTAATCATTGTTCCCTTTTACCAAGATTATTTCATTATGTCGGAGGATCTATGTTAAAATGCAACATTTTGGCTTCTGAAGATTTCGTTGAGCAAGCCATATATTGTTTTTTATGTAATTATTTGTAAAGGCAAGGCTTGGGAACAAATACTCGTCACAAATATTTTGTTTTCACAAATTTAAAATGACATTTTCCCTTTACAAAGCTCGTAAGATAAGTCAGTAAGATGAATTTGGAGTAAATGATTAGGTCACTTAGTTGGTTAATCATTAATTATTCGTACAACCACCATTTATTTTCCATTAATCACTTTCATTTTAGTCATGTTTATTGGTTTTAGCTTTAGACACATCTTCATTTGTTAAACTTCGAAAACGCCTAAAGTGTAGAGAGGATTATGATTCCCTTCACTGTTGTAGGAAGCAAGTAATACAAGGAAGAGAAATGTCACATACAAATAGCTGAAGTTACATAATCTTTGCAGACTTGAGGTTGTTCATCAAAACGATTTAATCATGCACGATTAGCCATCAACTAAAACTAATGCGTTAGACAAAGTTTATTAAGTAATTTAAAACTTTTTTAAAAATTTAAATCTATCGAAGTTTCTGGTTTCTTTAAGGGTGCACTACATTTGTTAATATATAAAATATAAAGATGTTTGTAGTAACTTTGAGATTCATATTTTATTTCATTTTAGTTTATTTTTCATTTTTAACATCCAATGAAAGTAAGGGGTACTATGAAGATGAAAGTAAGAGTTGCACGGCAAACTTTCACACCTATTGCTGGCTTGAAAAAATTTTACAGATGAAGTTTCAATACTTTGTTAAATAAATGGCAAGTGCCTATGAATGCTGACATATAATCTTTGGCAGTTCCTTCATGATCATGGCAAATTGCTTCCTAATAATGATAGATTGCTGAGAGGTTTGATTGATGATAATCTTTGTCTTGCTTTTGATCCTAATTTCACTAAACAACTTGATTTATTTGTCTTGCTTTTGATGCTTGCCTAAAATCCAGTTGTTGTGACCACTATATAAAGATCCTAAGGTTAGATTTCGAATGCATTTTTCGCCAATCTTCTTGCGTTTTGTGAAAGAGAAAAATTCTTGTTTTAATCTCTATCGAATAAATAGCGAATTATTATATTAATAAAAAATAAAATACTACCATAAAATAAAAAATAGTAAATTGCACTCAAATATTCTATAATTTAACAAAGTTTTGCTTAATGCCTCTCCTCTTTTTATTTTACACAATTTTTATTATTTATATAGTATTATAACCTCATATTTTTATTAATTATACAAATTCTTTTTATTTTTATGCAATTATATAAATTAAGAGAGATCAAAGTAATATTAAAAAAAAGGAATATTAGATGGAAATTTGTTAAATCTCAAGGAGCGTAAATATAATATATGTATTGATATGCGACACAAATGATTAATTTTATTATATATATATATATATATATAATTATTCAATAAATTTTAAATATAATAGTTGACATTCCTCTTCATATTTTATACGAGATTTTACAGTAAAATAACATTTAAATTAAACAAATAATAATGTTTTAATAATTAAATTTTAATATGTTAAAATTTCACACTTAAAATTAAATCTATCATAATTATTTTTTATTCAATAATTTTAAAAAAAATTAATAAAAGAAAAAAAGATGACTGAAAAATAATGGACATCAAATACTTTTATGTAAAAACAACGCTGTAATTTTCTAAGTCTGTAAATTATTTAAAAAATGTATAAATAAATTTTTATATTTAAAAAAAAATTACAAACCGATTCTTAAATCTTTAAGATAATTTTTGAAAAAAAAATGTAATTAGAGTTTTACAGTTTTGTTAAATTATAAATACTTAATTAAAAAATTTAAATGATTCAAAAAAATTATTAAATAATTACGTTAATTAAAAACATGATTCTTGTCCTATTTAACTATTTGTAATTAAATCTATATACTTACTGATAAAAATGAAAAATCCTAAAAGTAAAATTATTTAAAAGTAATTTAAAAATTCAACAACCTAATTACACACTATCAAAATGTGAAAACTTTTTTTAGAATAAATACACGGCCTTGAACATGTCTATGACCATGTGTGCCATAGCAAATTGGTAGCTGTGAGTGTGGTTTCTCTGCTTCCCATTCCAAAATCGTGAATGTGGAAATGGGTGGAAGCAAGAAGAGGAAGAGAGCCACCATTCACCCCAAAAACAAATATTCAGAAAACCCACCAGACTTTGCTCTATTGGCTTCTCTCTACCCTTCCTTCCACCCTTTCCTCCGCAACTCCCATCGCCACACTCACACCACCATCGATTGGACCGATTTCAACGCCACTCGCGAACTCACTCGTGTCTTGCTTCACTATGATCACGCTCTCACCTGGTACTTGTGCCCCACCTTTTTTTTTTTTAATACTTTTGTAGTTTAGGATACCCGTTTATTAATTAATTCATGGATTTCAAAAATTCATTTTTTACTTTTTATTGTTATCCGATAGTTTTGTTGTTTTAGTCTCTGAATTAAAAAAAAAAACTTTTTTTATTTCTTATACTAATGTTTTTATTAATTCGGAATAAATATAAGTATAGGAATATTAAAGGTATATTTTAACCCACGAACCCCAAATTTGAATTAATTGTACTTAGCAGTTGCATTTGTTTAGTATTGACGTTTATGAATTTGTAGGTGGATTCCTGATGGACAGCTCTGTCCTACTGTGCCCAACAGGTCTAATTACATTCACTGGCTTGATGATCTTCTCGCTTCTGAGATCATTCCGAATAGCATCACAGATGGGGGTAAGGTGAAGGGGTTTGATATAGGAACTGGAGCAAATTGCATATACCCTCTTCTTGGTGCATCTCTTCTGGGATGGAGTTTTGTTGGATCAGGTATGTTGTGTTTGGAAATGTGGTTTTGTATGGTTTTGTAACTGCTATGAAAATCAAAATTTTGATTTGGTTAAATGGTGCAGATGTGACTGATGTTGCTATTGAGTGGGCAGAGAGAAATGTTAATAGTAATCCACATATTTCTGATCTGATTGAAATTAGAAGGGTTGAAAGCAATGGAAGTGCTGCCTGTGTGGAACGTTTGCATGTTGAAGAGTCAGTTCATAGTGGAAAGATAGCTTTGTGTGAGAATATTGATGCAGAGAATAAGAATTATAATGGACCTCCTGTTCTTCTTGGTGTAGTCAGGGATGATGAGAAGTTTGATTTCTGCATGTGTAATCCACCGTTTTTTGAAAGCTTGGAGGAAGCTGGACTGAATCCCAAAACCTCTTGTGGTGGGACTTCTGAGGAAATGGTTTGCCCTGGTGGTGAGAGGGCCTTCATTACTCGGATTATTGAAGATAGTACTGAACTGAAGCATAGTTTTCGGTATTACTGTTTGTATATGAAATGTCATTCCTGTTACTTTTTGTATTAAGTATTGGTTTGCTTGTAATATATTTGTGCTCATTCATTTCAGTTTGTTTGTAGGTGGTTCACTTCAATGGTAGGTAGAAAATCAAATCTCAAGTACCTTATATCTAAACTTTGGGAGGTTGGAGTTGCCATAGTGAAGACAACTGAATTTGTCCAAGGCAGGACATCTCGATGGGGGCTTGCTTGGTCTTTCTTGCCTCTGGTGCAGAAGTCATCAATTTCTTTGCTCGAGAAGAAAAATATGTCCTTCATGCTTGAGGTGTAGTATACTAGTATCTATTTTACAGTTTCTAACTGGGTATTGTTTTCTAGATGACAGAAACAGACATATTTGAAATTGAACATTATTACATGTCAGTGAATAAATAATTTCAGTATTATTCTTGGAGCAATCGTCGTTCCCAGTACATTATCTGGCAAACGAAGATAATAGAATTATTGAGAACATAATTAATATATTTTGTGGTGCGACTTAAAGTGGTTATTAGATTACTGAGAAGCTGTAATTCAAACTATGCTATGAATTACACACTACTCCTTTAGTAAACAAATACTAACTGATGAAGGCATAACGTCCCCTAATACACATTATTCCTGTATTAAAACAAACACAATATAGCATAACGGTCATAGAGGCACAACATCTTGAATAAACCTTCCGAATGGTTTCTGGTTATGATTCAATGTATCATACCCAACATGTGTTCCATCAATATGTATAGAAGCGAACTTGAAGAGACTTCCTTCTACATGGAAGGGCAATTAATGAGATTGAAAGCTTGTCAACTAAGTTGGAACAGGAAGGCAGTCTTTCTAGGATGATATTTGGGGATATGTGACACCTTGTATGGGAACTTTTTTCCACTAATGAGTGAATGTAACGGTCATCCTTTATCTATTTAAGTACAACAGAAATTTTCTGATTCCCTGCACACTTATAGTTGAGTGAGCATTTGGTTCTTGTTAGTGTATTCATCCTTGGCATTCAAGGTTGTCAGGTGGGAAATCCAATCGCTTTGTTTGTGTTTTCCAGTATGAAAGAGATCTTCAATTATATGAAGTGAAGTGCATGTTGAGTGCCTTGAGATAGTTACCAATTGCACCCATAATATATAGTTTTGTATGCCGTCTCTTTTGGTTTCCTCCTGATATGATGTGACAAAACAAATGTTTAGGGTCTTCAACGTCAACATGGTGCCATTAATGTGTTGGAAGCTGTCAAATCATACTTTGCTTCTAATGGCCTATCCTGTACATTGAATACCTCCTCTTTCACTGTGGATGTAAGACTAGTCACTCTAAGTCTCAGATTCTGATTGAATTCCCTTGTAATGAATATTAAGCTTGATCACATTTTAATAGGTTCTTGCATCAAAAGATGACTGTGATTCAATCTTGAAGAATGAATTACCCATTATCCACAAATCCATCAATTGTCAACCTTCAAGAGAGACATCTAATGGATCAAGCTTGAATTTCTCTTTTGATAGATTATGCTTTCGTATATCGGTATGCTTGTATTCTTTGTTGGCTTAAAAAATTATTTTAATTGGCAGAATATACATTGATCTTGCCCTATTTATTCCATCCTACAGGTTTTTCAGCAAATCCCTGGGACACTGTTGGTGAAAGGTTCATTACAGGACAGGAATAGCCCATCATCAGGTTTTTTCTCCAACCTGCATTTACAATTTCAATTTTCCTATTTGGATGAGAGACAAGCAAACATAGATAATGTTGTATCTTCTTTTGTTTGGCTGAAGAGAAAATAAAGAGAAAAAAGTTGGCTTTTAGACATAAAATTCAAAATTTTCTCTCCTCCTTGTTTGGTAGCTATGAGGGGGGAGGGAAAGAAATAGAGTGGAAGATTAAAACTTCCCTTGTTTTGGATGCTCCATGGAGACGGGAGGGAGGGATGTTTTTTGTGCCTCCAAAATTGAAGGAAATGAATAGTAAAAGGGTGGAGGGGAGGGGGTAACACAGGGTTTTTTTTTATTTTTATAAATATTAAAATTATATAGAAATTATAAAAAATAAAAATAAATTTTTTATCAAGAATTTAAAAAATTAAAAAATTTTAACTCAATTTTAAACTTTAATAACTATTTTTAATACAACTCAATTATTTCTTTTCACACTTTTTTACTCATCCAAACAAGTGGAAAGAATTTTTTATCATTTCCTTCCTTATTATTTTAACCCATTCAAACATTAAATATTTTCTACTCTTCCACTCTATCTCTCATCCTCTTATTTCTTTTATCTCTATTCTTTCTTTTCTATTTTACCTTGCATCCGAACATACCATTAATAAAAATTTCAACTTTTTTTTCCTCTCCATTTTCAAAACTCTGAAACCGATGGTAAATGTCTTTTTCATTAGTTTATTATCATTTTAGTTAACAGCTGACTCTAGAAATAGCTTTGGTGTAATGTGCTCTTTGCCTGCTCTTTAGAGATATATCCTTTTTGGCTAAGTGAAATAATAAATATTATGAATATGGGTTTGATGTGCATCATAAAATAAACATTATCAGTCTAATTATTTTCTCACCGGTTAACTGAAAATTTCTGCCTTTTTTATGCACATTGACTCCCCACATGCCATACTATTTTCCATATGTATGTATACATGGGTTCCTGCAGTTGATATGTTGATAATTGCAATGGTTAAGTTCAAGTGGTAATGCCTCAACTAGAACGAGTGAATTAATAATTTAGTCATGGCTTGTTTTCTTTGCAGGAGCATTGTCAGTGATTTTCCAAAAACTGGAAGAAGCTTTGAGGTGTAAATTTTGTACCAAATCAGTGTAGGGTTTTTGATTAGTTGATTTATTGTTTGGGATAGTGACAGGATATGATGTGGGATGTTGAGAAGTTTGAGTGCTAATTTTTGGGGTCATGATTTGTATAGAAAGCAAGGAGTGATGGGGCAGTTTTGATGTGAAGAGGAAGTGAAGGGCTACAATCATCTCCGGAGGCAATATTGCTCAAGAAATTTAGGGTAGATCATGCATATATTATATTTTGTTTACCAAACCAGTAATAATCATTCAATTTGTTTGAAAATTGTGCTAATGGGACCCTAATTTAAAAACGATTTTTCTAATGTGTAAAAATAGATTTTTTTTTATTAAAAATAAAAACATTTAATACATTTTTTTTATAATAATTTAAAATATTTAATAAGATAGATTAAATGCCTTTTAACATATGTACAAGCGCTCTTGTATGTGCACGCAATATGCTTCTAAAATTGATTTTATGATGTCGATTTGTATCCAATTTATATATAATTTTGGCTTGCTTTTAAATAGTTTCATTACTTTTTACCAGTTTTATAATTGTTTGGGTTAGTGACTTTGATCAGTTTTCTATCTAATCGTTCGAATTGATGACTTAGGTCATCACCAATGAATCACTTCTACGAATATTTTATTGTTATATAAATTTTATTATATTATTTAGATGTTTACTTTTAAATTTATTTAATGTAACATTTATTTTTATGATTATAAATTTATTATTTTTATTAAAAATATTTCTATAATGTTGACATATTATATGTCATGAATTATTTTCACCATATTATATGCGTTTGATTCCACTTGTTTAGGAAAAGATATTTATTTTCATTCCAACCGAAGATATTTATTTTTATTAGCTTTTTGAGAAATTTTTTAAAATAAATATTGTTTTTTTAAAAAAAAAAGGTATCAATGTAAATAAGAAAATTTATTGAATATTGATTGTAAGGAAATTGTTCTGGATGTTTTAATTTTGTAATGCGAATGCTATATTTGTGTTTGTTACTTTTACTTCGAGAGTCTTGTTAATCATCTTTTTAATTTGTAGCTTTAAATGGTATTATTAGATCAAAATTATATTTGAACATGAGAGATAAATGATTATAAAATTTTGAAAACTCTGATTTAGATGAAGAAAACAATTTGATTATTTTTATTAATATTTTTATACTTCTTCGAAGTGACTTGTAGCTGGGTATTGAAAAAATTAGTTGTGTATATAAATTAGATTGATAATTTCTTTATAAATATTGTTAATTTTCTCTGTTTGTAACATGACTCGGAATTCTATAAAATAATTATTAGAAATTTGTTTTAATATTTTACTTTTTATTTTAGATAAAATATTATAATTTATAATATTAATTTTATATCAACTAGATAAAAAATTGGATGTATTTATTTTTGTGATTATGTAATTTTACAATATATTTAAATATATTTTAATTAATACTTCATATTATATTGTAAAAAAATGTGAAATGTTTTTTAATTAACTAAAGTGCAGGTAATATAGATGGACACAGAGACTTAGTTATCTCAGGGAGTATGGAAATGACTATAAGTTGTTGTTCAGTAAGTATGATGACAAGCACAAGTAATTTTTAAAACGTGAGTATAGGAATGAATTCGTTTCTATGTAACTTTCTTTAACAAGAGAACTTTAATAAGAATTATTTAACTTAACAGGTTTTTATAAATATTAAATTTTATAAATCTAGCCATTAAATTAAAAATTTTTTAAATAAATTTAAATTTATAAAAAACTATATAGATAAAAAAAATTAATTAACAATTTATTACATAACCTTATTTTAATATTTAATATATATTTTTGAAAAATATAAATGAATATTTATTGTAAAGTTATATTTTTACAAACGTATGATTTTTTAGGACTTAATATAATATCATCCTATTCAAAATTTGGATTAACGATAACTTAATTTCTGCTAAAAAATAAAATATGAAAACTAAAAGTGGAAGCCTAAAAATAAAATAAAACATTAATGTCTTTAACCAAGAGATTAGATACAAGTGAAGCAACACATGATTGATATATTATTGGCTATGCGCACAAAGCTTGTGTTTGTTTTCTCCCAGACGAGGTTGTGTTGTGTTAGTCGTTTGCTTTGAGTTTGATGATGGAGATGAGCATGTTGGCTTCGTTCCCTGGTTACACAAAACCCTTTGCAATTGCAAGAGTAAACCCTTATCTTCCTAAGCTCAGGGCATCTTCTCTGCGCCATGACTACCCCCTTGCAAGCAAAATTATTGTTAAAAGTAATGTCAATTCTTCTCTTTTATATACATGTCTAAGTGTGTGTTTGACGCATGCCCATCTCCTTCCCAATTGAGCTTGTCTTGTTTGACCCTTTTTGGCATTTAAACGGTTTAGAACATGCTCCTTTTATCCCTTTTTCCTCATAAAGTTGCAATTTTTATGCCAAACCTTTCCACCCAAGACGATGCATACAATGTGGTGATGTGGGTAATATGCGGAAGAAATATAAATAGATTGGTTTTTTTGCATCAATTATAATCTCTTTAGGACTCTTGTTTCACTTATGGGTACCAAAGTCAGTTTAGTTGTCAACCGCAATCTACCACTGCCAGCTCAATGCAGTTTATGTTTCAAAAAAGTATAGGCAGATGAATGTTAGTTCATCTGAAAGATTGAATGTTTGAAACGGATATTTGGCGAAGAGGTTGTTTGGAAACCAGGAAAAATGGTCAATATCTTGTGTTTTTCTGAGATTGTTAGAACGTTTTTAGATTGCCCCAGATGGATTTTTTATTATATGTTAGCTCTGGATCTAGATATAAGTGAGGCAAATGGATGCAACAAAATGATTAAATTGTTTGATCAGTGCTTATAGTTGTCTGCTGATTGTTACACGCTGTACATATATTTGCATTTAACCTCTAGGACTTGCATTATTAAAGGAATTGAATTGGTGAGTATCAAATCCAACCTTTTGTTCTTTTGCCAACTCAAGTTTCAAAGATAATTTAACAAACAAAGCTATCATTCATCATGGGATTGAAGTTTGAACATGGTAATATAATGTCTATGAACATCACCTGAATTGTATCATGTCCATATGGACTCTGGTTTGAGTTTGCTTCACTATGTTCATTGTTTTCTTTCTCACCAAAATTGAAAGTTTTACAAAAAAAAAAAAATATATTCCCTGTCATTTTCCATTTTAAAAACAGCGACAGAGAAGAACAATTACACAATGACTATGGAACAAAAACACTGGAGCTATAGGAAAGCAGTGTTATAATGTTCATAGTGCTGGATATCCCTATATAGTTCCCAAGTCTGTTACTTTTACTGCCTGAAGTTTATCAAAAGGGAAAAATACATTATCATCTCCTGTGCAAAGGAGTACAATTCTGATTGCCAAACATCTTGTCGCTTCTCACTATTCACTTTTGAGACTTCAGGATGATGAGGGTTGTAAACTTGTAAAGGTTTTAAATGTAATTTGATTTCAAGATTGTGGCATATTAAGATGGTGAAAAGTGTTAGGTTTCAATAATGATTTATGGTTTTCTTCCTAGCCTCTCAGTGGCTGGAAATTTTTGTAGCAATTTTCATCTGAATGATAGATGTGTTTTTCTAGCCTCTATGAAGGACGAAAAGGGGGGTGGGGGGTATTCTTGTTAGAAGGTATGCTTGCTTTTACGTCGATTTCTTGCTATTCTTTTGTGTTCTGTGCTTGTTTTCTCTGTTTCTGTCCTTATGGTACTGGTACTAAGTTCTTAAATAATAATAATAAGAATCACTTTCCTGGTGTCTCTAATTCATAAATGACAATACAAAATTGCCTATTACACAGTCATGTCAATGATGATATTGCATTCATCTATTTATCTGAGATAGCAAATTAACATCATACTGATCTGCTGTGCAGACTAAGTTTTGATTTTAATGCGACAAATTAACCAAGCTTTAACTATATGATATTATGTGCTTTGGACTTCTAAACCTACAAGTTCCAGTAACATGCTAGAAACTTTTGTTCCAAAGCACTAGCATCCATCCAGATAGCTAAAAAATAAACTTGTCTTGTTGATTGACTGATTGACTTAATGTACATCACCAAACTACTGAAAGCCTCTTCTTGCCCATATCCTGCCTCTCAGATGATAATTTATGTAGTTCTTTAATTTATCAGTGATTAGTCCGTATACCTGCATGCCCTTTTAATATTTTTCTTTTCTGATGTCTGCACACCTTGGAGCACATTATTCTTCCTTTAATTACATTTTTTTAAATGAAGTTCTACTTGTTCTTATTTGGAGGCAGATTTACCATACTCTACCGGTGAGACCACTTTGCAGAAGGAATTTTCAAATTTTGGCAAGATAGCTGAAGGTATATGCATGGATTTTCTCAATATTCATAATAGTGTTGGACTTAGTGGTTTACATAGTGGCTTTTAGTACTCAAGCTCATGCCTCGAGACATGTATTTTATGTGTGCTGCAGTGAAAATGGTTAAAGATGCAAGTACGAAAAAATCTAAGGGCATTGCTTTTATTCAATATACATGCCAAGATGAGGCTATGCTTGCACTTGAAACCATGGATCAGAAGGTTCAAACATCTTTATACTATCAACCATAACGCTGACAATTGAATGTTCCCTTTTTAATTTGTTTCCTGTCCATTTTCTACAGGATTTTTATGGTCGAAAAATCTATGTAGAAATTGCAAAACTGGGTTGGGATGAATTTGGTGCACCCCCTAGGGCCTCAGGACCCCCAAAGAAGTGGGATTTGCCAGAGCAAGGGGAGGTGGTGGATTGCTGGTACTGATCGTAATTGAGTGAAGCTGTAGAAGAAGAGAAAATGTTGGAACTATCAAGTTATACAATGATAGCTATAGGTGTGATGGAACATTATATTTTAGTGATATTGAAGCAATACTATAGTTCATGGTACTCTTCATTTTGACATAAAACTGAAGGTGTCTTTTGAAAACCTGTTCCTTTTGACCAATATGTGGAGCTCCTGCAACAACAATTTTACTGTACATATAAGACACCAGTGAATTTCATTCAGTAGTTTTTGAGTTACTACTCTACATTTGAATGAAATTGTCATAGAACAGAAATTTTATTTCCTTTGCTCGGAGTGGCTTGGACCATCTTATTCTATCATTGTCCAATTGAGTGCACTCAGTGCTTACATAACCTTGATTCTGAAATTTGACAGATTGTCATGTTTTGTTTGCTCTAGAACCTTAAACTAGATTTGCTTCTTGACCTAAAATGTTGCTTCTCATAGAGATGCAGGCAATATATGGATCATGCTTCGATTGTAGTGCAACTAGAAATAGTTTTGTCTCTTCATTTGGTCGGAATAGAATGATTGACACCTGAAACATGCAAAATATAACAGCTATAGAAAACTAAATGGTGATCAGCATTGATGATTTTTTATATATTAACGATAAAATATGGAGTTTTTATCTAATGATTCAAACACGCTTCGATTGTATGTCACATAAATAATGCATACACGTAAAGTTCTTTAAGGTATGATGATAAAAATAATAAAGGTTTAGAGTAATGTAAAGTTTTATCCGTCTTATTGTTATTATTCTTTTTTTTAAGCTTTTAATCAATTTAAGAAATGGACGAACACTGTACAGTATACTGTTGTAATAAACATGAACTATAGAGCCAGGCTTATATATATTTAGAGTCGGCAAAATAAGTTTGTTCAACTATGCTGAACTGGTTTTGTTCGATAAAATAAAAGAATTAAACTTTAAGTCTGAATTAAATTTGGATTTTTTAAACTTGATTGGATAAAATCTAATGCAGATTAAATTTATAAAAAATCACTTTAGTCCTTTTGAGCATTACTTAGTCTTTTTTAATGTGATAGACCTAACATTGTGTTGCATACTCAATCCAGAACCGAAAACTGCATATTTATGTTGGATGAGAGGTTCTCAGCCTTTAATGAGTCTTCACTCCAAAATTTATGGACCAAATTTCAAATTTAGTCTCAGATTCTATGCCTAATTTAAATCGGAAAATTGACAAAATATCTAGATATCAAAGAGATAAGACAACTGCATCTTTAATTTTAGACAAATATTGCCTTTTCGTTTTAGCATTTTTACAGTGCACAACACACTCACACACAGATCAATGCCAACATCGCTGTGGCAGCCTTCAGTAATCCGCAGGAGAAAGAGTTCCAAATTAGTCTGTATTTTGATTACTTTTTAAAAATAATGTTAATAATTAATTATATATATAATTGATCATATTAAAAAATGTTATGTTTATTTATATTAAAAATAATATTTTAAGATTTATTTTGTTTGGATTATTTAAAAGTATTTTTAATGATAAAATTATAAAAGGGAATACGAGTAATAATTCATTTTGAATTTAAATTGTGAAAAAGAAAATAAAAAAGTTAAATTAAAACTAAATGCTAGTTATAAGTTTCAAAATTGTGTTTGTCATAAATAAAGAACAATTTCTTATGTTGGGATTATATATTTTTTTTATTGTAATCCAAATTATCAAACACATGTGAATAATAACACCAATAATTTCAATCTTTTATGAATCAAAATTGGAAATAGTTTAATCCAAGCATGCTCTTATCAACTCAGAAAGCTAGCAAGATCAAGTCAAGTACCATGTGTCTTAAAACCATAGATCAAATAAGTAGGGAAAAGAAATGATGTGATGAAAATTGTCAAGAAAAAGTAGTACAATTTTAAAAATGTTAAATTTAGCTTGTCAATATCTTCCATCATGTGCATGTATTTGTGCTTGAATTGGAATAGGTGCCTGTGAAGCTGGAACACCTAGCAGCCAATTCCGGGTGTATGCCTATGTTTGATTAGAACTATGATTATGACAAATGCATCAATTATTAATTAAACTTAAAATAATGGGTTATGGACAAGGTCACTGAACCAGTCATCTGTTTTATTCCTCACAATTCAATTCATACATACGCTGTCCTCATCAGTGTCTCACTCATTAGAAAAGAATCCCACAACAAATCTATTAACTCACTTAACTTTTTTAATTAATCCCCTCCCATAGTCCGTGACACACCCAAGAACAAGAGACACCAACACGTGAAAGAGAGTTTTAAGTCTCTCTTTTATTGAGCCAATAATAAATTTATTCAATTAAAAACTATAGGTCTTGTTAATCAATATCATTAAAATAATCAATTAATAAAATAATTATCATACTACATGGATTTACAAACAATATTTTAAATACAAATTGTGTAGGAGCTTTAAAACTTTGATGCGTGACTCTCTGGACCCATGAATAATGGGGCCACTCATGAAGCAAAGAACCAGTAACTTCGCGAGTGAAGCGCGCGAAGGTGTGGCCATGCCACGTGTCTAGTCTGAGAACCACACACTGGCAACTGCGTAGGGCAACAAAATGTGGACCTAGAATCGCTTTCATCACAAACTTTTCTGAGTTTGTGTTTGATTTTGGAATTCTCACTTTTCTCTTTCTCTCACCCGTGAGACTACACACACGTGACAAGTTCAGACAAACACGCATGCATGCATGCATGCATGCTAAACAATTCCACTTTCTTTGTCCAAATCTTATCCCTCTATAAAACCCTCTTCACACTTCAAGTTTTACTATGCAACGTTCATTCTTTTTTCAAGTTTGCTTACGTATACCAAGTCACAAATTGCACGTCAACTCCATTGCCTTTGCATGGTTACAGAAACTTCCTGAACTCAAAGAAAAGTGGGATAACAAATACTCATAATCAGGTGAAGTCACGTAGTCCTATTTCCTCTCTTAATTTGTTTGCTTGATTGGTCACATAATTAAGAGATGGATAGAACCATAGAAGGACGGGTCATATAGTTTCTAAAAGGGTCACTCTCTGTGTGTCAATGGGTCTATTTTTGTTTCAATATTTTAAATTGCGGTTGTGGAAACCTTTAAAATCATTATATTATGAAAGATTTAAAGATAAATGAGACAAATTCAACAATAATTGTTGCAACAATATAATTATAAATACCTGTAGAACCTTAATATTGTGATTATAATTGAAGTTGCGGACCACAAATTGAAACCTTTCTTTGTATCCTTTTGGCATTTAATCAAACATGAATTGATTCGACCCGTGAATGGGTTAATTGGATTGTCCCACCTAATATATGCGGCCTACACAATTTCATGGCCACAAGGAGCTAAACAACAAAAAAGAGTCACGGGTTGGATTGCTTTTACATCAACACCATATTCACTCAATTTGTTACTTCTATTTTAAATTCATTTCCGTGCCACACTATAAATGAATGATCACTCTCTCAAAGCCTACGTGTTCACTTATGAGTCATGTCAGAACAGAACAAGCAAATATTTTGGCATAACAATGTGAATAAGTGCAATAGGATAATTCAATATGATGTGTGTGATTAATATCAAGCCTCAGTTGCCTTAAAATTTCGTAGAATGCCTTGAAGATGAGGTCATATTAAACATCTTAATCCGAAGTAAGTTAATTAATTTTGCTAGCATGAGAAAGTTTCTAGTACATAAGATGAAAAGATAAATTTTGTTTAACTAAAGTTGGATTGGTGGTTGTGATTCATTAGAAAGGTTAATTGGTTGTATATCATCTGTTCGATCATCATGCTTTGCTTTCTTGAATTGCTCACAATCTGCTACTGTTTACCGATCTAGACCTATCAACTTATAGCTATATTACACGTGCAATATGCTGCTTAGTACTACAGATTTTCAGAATCAGAAGCTGCGTTTGTCGGTTGGCTTTTTCTTAGGAAAAACTCACAGAAACCTGTTACATGATTGGACAAATAGATTAAAGACACCTGTTTTTAGAATTTTTTTTCTTGGAAAATATATACACATGGCTTGTTCATTCTTTTTTCAACTAAAAAAAATCACCGTCTCTTAAGGGTCAAATATATTTTGTCTCGTTATCACATTATTCTTTTAGTTTTACATATTAATATTCAGCTATAGCATCACATCTAAAGAATTATAAGAGACGGTTAATTAACCCTTATAAGCAAACAGAAATTTCTTTCTACGTCCTCTTTATTTTTATTTTAAAATTTTCCCATTAGTCCTCTTTCTACCTCATCTTAATTAGTGCACTCATTTTAGAACTGAGTCCATGCATAAGTATTTCATTTATTTCCTTAAGCTAGAGAAAATTTAATTAGATGAAAAAAAAAAAGGAAGTACAGTTGTTGTTAGCACGATTTTCTAGAGACTTTGGGCCTCACAATAGCTCCACGTCTTAAAATTGTTCAATTTACAATTTTTTAACGTCTTAAAATTCTGAAAAAAAAATGTTACACCTAAACTATATTTTAGTATTTTTTATTTTAAAGAATATTTTTGAAATGCGTAAATATAAAAAGATTAAAAAAATAAAAATAATCGTATACAACATCACATACAATGTTAATTTTAAAATATTTAAATAACATAATTCTAAAATTCTGTTCCAATCTTGAGCTCATATATTTGAGAAGGAATTACTCTTTCTCACGTACAAATTCATCCCTATAGAGGTAGGTATAAAATTTTGAGGGTGTGAAAAAAAAATTAAAATTCACAAATAAGAATAATGATAAGTCAACTGGAATGCAACAAGCTAGAGAGAAAATGCATTAGAAACGGGACAGCAAAAAATTAACCTTCTTACTTCAAAGAAAAATAGTGATGTCAGATAATAAATAAAAACAAAATTGAAGTACAGTAGTTTAGTTATTTTAGCATCATTTTTTAATTAAAATTAAAACCTCAATTCAATAATCAGCTCAACAAAAAGTAACCTTAAAAGTGATTAGAGAGGTTAAATTTCAATTTTAATCAAACATCTAAAGAACTGATCCAACAAATAAATCCTGTCAGAGTCACTAGACATCCAAAAGCGCCCAACCATTTCCTTGGCACTGGTACTTTTAATCAACATGGACTTGACACGTGGCATCCTGTTATACTTTGAGAACTCATTCATGTTGGATCATATGAGTTTGAGTATAAATATAAGATGGTCCTTGCTAGGCCAATTAGCCATTCTTCCTTCTTCCATTTCAATCTCATTCATTTATCTATTTCTGAAGTTGAAGTTTTTGTCTATTCACAGAAACAACTTTGCAACATTTTGTGGTTCTTTACACATTGCCACATACATACATACATATTGTTGGTCCAAAGTGAAAAATTCAGAGACTTGAACTCCACATGGAACTCATAATTCGTGTGTTTTTTATTCTCTGGATTACCTTGACACTCTTCAACCATAATATGGAAAATGTGGAAGGAAGATACCACTATCACACCAAGCAGAATAAAGCTTCCTCTGTTTTTAACCCTCCTGTTGATTCTTCCACTGACCCTCCTTCAAATTCTCCCACTGTTCCTTCTGACCCTTATCCAAATGCTCCTCAAGGTTCCCCTTTGAACTGTGTTTTTGATGTAAGGTCCTTTGGAGCTGTTGGAGATGGTTCAACTGATGACACACCTGCATTCAGAGCAGCATGGAAAGCAGCTTGTGCTGTAGATTCTGGTGTTCTTCTTGCTCCAGAAAATTACAGCTTTATGATCACTTCAACTATATTTTCAGGTCCATGCAAGCCAGGATTGGTATTTCAAGTAAGAACGATTATTGAATGGCCATGCTCATCACATCGCATTAGTTTTTTTGTTCGATACCCTCTTAAGTAAGATGTGAGAGATGTTAATATTAACCACTCAATCTTAGATATGGTTAAGATTAGTTTTATTTAAATATAATCTTTACCATTTATGTTAAACTCATGTTTGGTAGTCTCTATTTTGAAGAAATAATCGATTCTAAAAAATAAGCAATTATTTTTCAAAAGTAATCCGTTACCAAACATGTTATAATATGATTGAATGATCAAGATTAACTTCTCTCACCTTTCATCGCGGTGTTACATGATACACTTGTTCTATAGATATACAGATAGATAGATTTGAGTTTACTAACCGGGTAGAAATATAACTAGGTGGATGGTACACTCATGGCACCAGATGGACCAAATTCTTGGCCAGAAGCAGATAGCCGAAATCAATGGCTTGTGTTTTATCAACTTGACCAAATGACTCTTAATGGTACAGGAACCATAGAAGGCAATGGAGACAAGTGGTGGGATCTCCCTTGCAAACCTCACAGGGTAATCATTTTCTCTTGTCATTACCAATACAATCACCCTGTCATTCTCCTTTTCATATTATTGCTGTATTCATTTGAAGTTGAATGAAACCATACTAAATGCTACTTAATGGCACTTTCAGGGTCCCAATGGAAAGACTCTGTCAGGACCATGTGGTAGTCCTGCGGTGAGTAAACTATTCTTCAAAATTTAACTCAAGCATTAACTAAATGTGTATGTATTTTTAACTGTCTTACCATTGTTTTTCTTTTTTGTTTATAGATGATACGGTTCTTCATGAGCTCCAATTTGAAGGTGAATGGGCTTAAAATTGAAAACAGTCCTCAGTTTCACATGAAATTTGATGGCTGCCAAGGAGTACTGATAGATAAGCTGTCTATTGCTTCACCAAAACTCAGCCCCAACACAGATGGAATCCATGTAGAAAACACCAAAGATGTTGGGATATATGACTCCATGATAAGCAATGGTATACAGTTAAACTTCATAGTACTTTGGTTCTATACTACATTTCACTAATTCTTACTTATGCAAGATGTTCTGCTTATAATAACATGATTTGAACAGGTGATGATTGCATTTCAGTTGGACCCGGATCTGCAAATGTGGACATAGCCGGTGTAACTTGTGGTCCTAGCCATGGGATTAGGTCCGTTGCAGAATCTTCTCCTTTGTTGATGATTAATAAAAATATGTGTCAAGTGACGCTCGTTAAATTAAAAGTGAAAAATTAAAAGTGAAATCCACATTATTTTTGTGATTTGATTATAAATTTTAACTAATAAAGAGTGTGTTGCTAATTTCTCTTGTGAACTTCTCTCTGGTGCTAATTTCAGCATGTCTCACTTAGTGTATTGTTTTCTACAGCATTGGAAGCCTTGGAGTACACAATTCCCAGGCATGTGTCTCAAACTTAACTGTTCGTGACAGCATCATAAGGGAGTCAGAGAATGGACTCAGAATCAAGACATGGCAAGGTGGGATGGGATCTGTGACAAGCTTAAGATTTGAGAACATCCAAATGGAGAACGTTGGAAATTGCATCATCATAGACCAATACTACTGTTTATCAAAGGAATGTCTAAACCAGACTTCAGCTGTGCATGTTAATGATGTATCCTACAGGAACATTAAGGGTACTTATGATGTGAGAACTGCTCCTATTCACTTTGCCTGCAGTGACACTGTTGCTTGCACAAACATAACACTCTCTGAGGTTGAGCTTTTCCCATTTGAAGGAGAATTACTAGATGACCCTTTTTGCTGGAATGCTTATGGGACTCAGGAGTCCTTGACTATACCTCCAATTAATTGCTTAAGAGAAGGTGACCCTGAGACAGTAGGTGATCTTTCTGAATATCAATGCAGTTAAAGATATTACTTTAAATTTGGTTTCTTAGATAGAAGATATATATCATATATCTATATATACTACACGTATAGAATCTAGATAACTATTATTATAAGTTGATGATTTCGGGTATGTTTTAGGATTCGTCCCTATTTGGGTGTATTATTCCCATATTGTGTGATGAGATGCAGAATTTGGTCCATTTTTGGACCTACACTGTAATAGCTTGACTGAACATTTACATATTATATGGCTAAAATAATATACGATTTTTGTTCCTTAAATTTATCATATATTTCTTTTTTTTGTTTTTATCTAAACTTATTTCAGATTTAATATTTAACATACATATATAGCATCTATTATACGATGGTATATTACACAAATGACTGGTGCATTAGAATGTGCTTTCACTATCTTCTATTTTTCGGTGTTTGGTACTGCTATACTTGCTACAAATACATATATACAAGCTTAACTGATTAACCTTACACTCATGAGAATGTAACCTCTGGCTCTAAACTCTTCATGGAAGCAAAATAAAAAATTAGAGTTGCATTACTTCGGTTTATCTTTAATTTGTCCTTCGGCTTTGCAAGAGTCTGAATTAGTAATAAGAAAAGACAGTGTTACTTTAGTTTGTACTCGTAATAAATTGTATATATATTTTTTATATTAGAGTAAATCATCAAAAATTGAAGTGTATCAAAACAATTCAATCAATAAATATTTGTTCTTGTTTCTTCTAAGTTTATCTTCTTTCTCTGCACTCTGCCTTCATAAGCATAGAAAACTCATTCCTCTGTTACTAGTTTCCATATAAAACAAGGAGCCAAACAAATTTTCATTATATTATAGTTTATATCATCACTTTTTTTTACATATTTATATGCTAATAAAATCAAATGTTGAAAATGAAATTATCACAAAAAGTATGATTTGAACTTATTCATAAAAAATATCTGAAATCAGATTATGTGAGGCAGTAAATGTATTCGCAGAAGTTAAATCCAAATTCAACATCTAAATGTTGAGAAAGAAAAATACATTAGAGTCCATAAATTTGACAAGTTATAATTAGAAAATGATATTTTTTTATAAATACTTTTTTAAAAAAGTAAATTGCTTTAATCTCCTTTCTATTTTAGGTTTCTTAAAAAAAAAAACTTGTTCATTTTCAAAACTTACACAAAATCCTCTCTATTTTAAAAATACAATATATATTATATTTTAATCTAATTTTAGTATTACATTTAACAAAATCGTTAGTCAATAGTCAACTGTTGTAAGAAACTCCTTGTATTTTTAAAGCCTCATACAAAAATATCTCTCATATTTTATAAATATCTTATAATTAAATCCATGTTATGATAAAAAAATTTAAAATTATTAAATACTTAAATGATTTTTTAAAAGAAAATTAGAGTAATATAAGAAAATGAGTAAGAAACTTAATTGATTTTACATATTTAAAATAATCAAAATGCTTTAAAAACAATATTTACGTGCTCCTAAATGATTTAATATGTGTTCTAAAATAGTTTTTATGGAATACCCGTCCTCGATAACAGCTAATTTAAAGAATTTTAATTATTTTAAAGATATAAAATTAATTAATTTAAATTTTTATAAGAAATTCAAAATAGAAGAAAAACTGAATAATTTACTAAAATTGATTAAAATATTTAGGGCAGAATTTTTGAAATAATCTTAATGTTGAGAACATTTATTAAAAAAACTATTAAAAATATCAAATAAATGCTAATAACATTCTAGAGACATTGATTAAAGAATTACAAATAAATTTCTACTTTATCAAAATAATAATAATAATAATAATGCATACCATTAGATTTCTAACGCAACTTTAATATAATTTTTAGTAATTTTTTATTAATTTCAAACATTGATTAGCAACAATTAATAAAATTTAAAATATTATTAATGCCTTTGTGTTATATAATATTAATTAAAATCAAATATATTATTAATATATTTCTACCATTATTTTTAATAATTATGAGAAGAAATTCATTTACTTCAAGATTATTATTTTTTTATAGACTGATATTTAATAATTCATTAGATAACTTTATTTTAATATACAATATATGTTTAAAATATAAATAAATATCACCTATAAAATTAGCTATATATAATTGTACAACTTATTTAAAATTTAACTTATATAACCATAAAAATATTATATAATTCAAGCAAACTAAAATTTAGTCCTGAAATAAGTAGATCTCTTTCCTTCTTATATATGTAACATCATTTTTAAAATTTTAAAATTAATTATTTAATTAATTTCTTTATAATTAAGAAGATCTTTAAGAATAAGGAAGCATAGAAGGTATAATTAAAAATTAATAACAAATAGCAGAGTATAAAATTAGAATAATTAGGCAGATACTAAAATGGATGGACGAGGTATGTGTACTGCTTTTGAATCAGAACCTTTGACCCTATTCTGTTTAATTTTGCGTCAGGGACTCTCTTTTTTTCAGGATAAAAACAGAATAAGGTATTAATAAAGGCTTTGACAGAAACATACGGTGACAGAACCAGGAAAACATGTGCAACAGCATCTAAGTATGTGATTAAAGGAAAATCCCTGCATGGACCTAGCTAGTGTTCAACAATATTTGTTGATATACTTCTATATTTAACAATACATAATATTTTCATTGGTCTTTATTTGATTATAGTGAGGGAGGTAAAATAAAGCCATGAACGAAGAATATAATATAAATCATCAGAAATTAATCCTCTTTTATTCTATACCTTTTTTTTCTATATGTGATCTGGTCACCAATGTTGAAGCAGTTGAATTCACAACTGAACACTCTGCAGCATCCTCAAGGATAAAGGACTTCATTAGCATATTTTATTTTACTTCCGTTTCTAAGATGGTTTTATATTTGCATTTCACCTTATCATCCTTAACTGCTTGGAAAATCAGTATCACGCAGGTAGCAGCATATGAAGCTCCACTATACTTTTGACCCCAAAAAGTAATTTAACAAAGTTGTAAAATTAAAACTTGCTTAAGGATTTTTAATTACATCATGATGAAAACCGCTTCTACAAAAGGATTCATTTGTATATATTTTATAAATATCAAGACAAGAAGCTAGCCATCACATACAAAAAGTGTAATTTAACTAGACATAGTTTGATTAGGGTAGACACTAGACAGCATTTGTGAGTTGGGAGAGCTGAAGAAGGCTCTCCTTGAAGCAGCACATCAAACTTCAGTGAAACGCATATATTCCTTCTCTGATGGGAGATCTACAGTCTCAAAACCTTGATGGAACATTTCTTTTGCTTGCTCATTTGTCACATCAGGTGAAATCACAACTGGGTCCCCTGGCTTCCAGTTTGCTGGTGTTGCAACCTTGAACTTTGAGGCCTTCTGCAATGACTCTATCACCCTCAACACTTCATCCATGTTCCTTCCAGTAGTTGCTGGGTACAGAAAACTGAGCTTGATCTGCAAGAACCCACCAATTGACATATTAGACCCACTACTCAAAGGAATGGAAAAAAAAGGCAGCAAATTCATTAGTTTAGTCAAAGAAAATTTCACCTTCATATCTGGGCCAACAATATGAAGTGCCCTGGATGGTAGGTTACCGGTGGAGTCTTTCCCATCAGGATCAACCATGTTGAGTAGCTTGATGATTTCTCTGCTTGGATCAGCTATGATTGGATAATCCACCTTAGCATCTGGCTGCATGCAACAAATAAACACACTTAGTACCCGTTTGGTTACCAAATAAAAAAAAAATCAATTTTCACGCTTAAAAATAAAAATACATTCGTTCCAATAAAAAGTATAATTAAAATCAATTTTAAGAAACCTCAATTAATTTCAACGATTCAAAATTATTTATATCCAATTAAATAATCAGACCTTTTAAGCCTGCCTTTATTTTCCATCAAATATGTATGTCTTCTATTTGAGTCTAATGTCAAAATAAACAAATAAATGTGAAAAGTTGGAAGCTCACAGTGTAGGCTTCAATGTCTTTGATCCACTCATTATGGGATTGAAGGTCATCACAAGACAAACCCAACAGCAAAACTCCTCGTTGATAAAACTCCTTAGAATACTGAGCCATCTTACCAAGCTCGGTGGTACACACTGGTGTGAAATCACCTAAATATACATGTACAATCATGCGTGCATGAAAAGAAGATCAACACGTAATTAAAAAACCATCAACATAGAGAATCCAATAGACACAACAAAACAATGACAATACCAGGGTGAGAGAAGAGGAGAGTCCAGCTATCAGCACAGAATTTGTGGAGTTTGATTCTGCCATGGGTTGTTTCAACTTCAAGATCAGGAATAGTGTCTCCGATGGTAAGGCCTGGCATTTTTTATGCAGAGAGATTCCTTATTTTCAAACCCTTCTTTTTCTTTTATGTGATATTGATCAGAATGTGTACTACTGAGATTATAAAGAAAGGAGAGTTCCTTGCATGAAGAGAACGTGGCATGTTAATAGCTATGGACGTGACTGTGCTCTTGCTTACATGTCATTGGAGTCCCACACTTTTCTCCACGTACACTCTACTTTTGACCTTTTGTTCTCACCATTTTTCTCGAACATAAAATCTTATTTTTCTTCTTTCGTCTAATTCATCTCCGTATGTTTTTACTTTCTAGATTCGATTCTTTTAGACTAAGAATACATGTAAAGTGAAAAAATAAAGGTTTAATTATCATTAATTTTGGTAAGTATATTTATAAAATATTTTAATAAATATTAAAGGTAGTTCAAAATTTGTTTTTTTTTATTATATATTGTATTCATTTCTTTACTTGAAAGAAGCTCAATCCTTCCTTACTTTCTGAGTGCCCTCATCCTTGTCATATCATCTTAAAAAAAAAGTTAAAAAAAAACACTTCATCTTCGTTAGTTTTAACTTTTTTGGATCCTGTCACTCTTTAACATGGTTTGAGTGTTCTCTTAATTTGTCATATCTGGTAAAAAAACAAAAAATAATTCCGTTGCCGGGACTTGAACCCGGGTCTCTCGGGTGAGAGCCGAGTATCCTAACCAACTAGACTACAACGGAGATATGATTGATGGACTGTTATTTACAATTTATTATAAAAGTTAGTGCTAATGAAATTTCTATGCCTTTTTCCATGTCATTTAAAAGTTAAAATAATCTTAACTATGATGAAATTCTGGTTTCGATATGCTAAGTAGTCTGCAGGATCCTTTTTGGTGTTTGTCATCTCCATTTGGCCATGCTGTCGGTTATAATGGGATTGTTTCAATTTCGTCATTATTGGTGTGTTGGGCTAAACGATTTATCTTATCTATGTTTTGTACAAATAAAAGTCGTCGATGAGTGGGAACTTCTTATGATTGTTGCCTTTTATCAAATTCAGCTGTAAATTGTACGTTTTTCTTGTTTTATTCTGATAAAGTCAAGAAATCTTAATCCACACAAAGTGACAGGATCAATGTGGCTTTATCACACACTTAGATATGTCGGAGAGAATATTCAGTTAGGAAGGAATATGTTTATGCATCTTTTCTTTTATTTTTATACATGCAATTACTATATATTTTATAAAAAATTTAGAATTTTTCTTTTAATTTTTTATGAAAATTAAAACAAGTCCTTGTATTTGTGAACTCTAAACATTTAAATATACTATATATACTTTTTATATTCTTAAATACTTATTCTAGAGTTGCATGAGAGATAATTGCTAATGTTATAATTACATCTCTTAGTTACTAACAAAATACCTTTGCTAATTTGTTGTCAACGATCACTTTGACTCATAATCCTTCTCATAATTAGTTGGTTAAATACGTCAATGAGTTCATTATCTATAGCTAATAGGCAAAGCGCATTTGTCCCGTATAGTAAACAATTTAAATTAAATCTGCATCGCTTTCTGCATAACCTCTTAGACAGAATTCATACTTGAGGACGAGGAGTAGTAGTGTAGATTTGTGATAATTAGATTATAATTAATCTATATACTAATAACTTAATTAAGAGAGTGCTAGTTGTTTTCTTGAAACTTTGGAATTATAACAAGGGGTGAACAACAAACCAGAATATTGTACATATGTGATTAAGGGTAAAAAATAATGTATTTTCATATTAAGGTTACTCAATATTAATAGATTTAAACAATTAGTTGTTTTTTTATTTGAAATTAGAAGTACTCCCTGTTAGGGGCTAATTAAAGAAAATTATTTAGAATAAGGTCGTGGTCTATTTTACATTGTTAATTAACAGTTGATATATTACTCCACCAACTATAACCATATATCACCGTTCTAAAGTGAAGGATGGTAAGCTAGCTAGACGCACGTTGACGTTTCTCCTTCTTCAAGAAATAAAACCTTTGCTCAAGAATGTTTTTTCAGCACTGGAAATTAGAAAAACTGGTGGTTTTTTTTTTTTTTTATGTGATTGTAATGTATTCAATGTCCTAGATTTTATCACATAGTATTATACATGATAAGATTAATGTGATGATATATGGACATGAATATCGATTTTGGTGTCACTGTGTTATACTTTAATTAGAAATATTATCCTCTATATGAAAAAAAAGTTACATAAATATGTTGTAACATCATACCATGTTTACTTTTTCCTTTAATTAAGAATATATTTGAATTTAGTTAAAATAGACACTCAAACTTAAGTGGAGAAAAGTTAAAGGAGGATTCATATACTAATCCAAACATCTTAATTAAATTGTAGCTTTACAAACAAGGCCTAGAAATTGATGTGCTCTAAAATAACTAGCTAGCTATTTAAATCACTAAGCTATGACAATATGCAAGGAGTGAACAGAATCATTAGACTTAAGTAGGTGTCTGCAAGTAGGACAAGAGGAATGAGATAGAAGCCATTTGTCTATACAAACAACATGGAAATAGTGGTTGCACTTGGGGAGGAACCTTATTTGGTCCCCGTCAGAGAACTCAGCCAAGCAAATGACACAATTATTATTAGAAGGTGAAGATGAAGAAGTAGAGTTGGTGTAAGTTGAGGTTGGCAAAGCAACCATTTCATTCCTTTTGAGCCCTGAATTGAGCCTACGAGAAGCAATCCATTGACAAGGTTGTGTGAGGACACGACCAGCACATTGAAACACACATTGTAACATAGTGTTAAGGCCAAGAGCACAAACAAAGGCACATAATATGGCTGCCACAAGAACCATCCAATCGAACCCACCAACTTGTGAAGGGTGATCATCATGTGTTGTGCTTATGCTTATGATGGGTGTGGGAGATTGAGTTTCAGCCATGGTGATGGAGAAGTGATTATGAGGAAATTTTGTAGATAATAAAGAAAGTGGGTAACATGGAGGGAACGACACATAGGTACACAAAACAATGACACAAATTACCCAAAGGGAATGAATGTTTTGTGGCCAAAGTGAAATTAATGGGTGCTTAAATAGATACGGTGGAGAAGTTGGTGGCATACATGGACATGTGATGAGGTGCTTACTTGATAATCCACTGCTCTTCCTTTTTCTATATGCGCTTCAAAGGAATGATAAAGCAAGTCATATCCTCATTTTGATTCCACTCTCAGTCGTGTCCTTTCATTTTTATTTTCTGATATTTGTTTAAGCAGAATGATGCGTGTCTATCGTCATTTTTATTAAACCAACTTTTACATATACTTTTTTAAATTATTAGTTTCATTAAGAGATAAAGAAGAGATTTTAAATAAAAAATATATTTTAACAAAATGTACGAAAGTGATGATACATATTTTTTTAAGTTTTTTAAAATAATGTTATGATACGACCTTTTTCTATAAATGAAACTTTTTATAAATTTTCAGCAAGATTAAGCTTAGTTAATTATTGGTATACTTTTTTAAATATAACTTTACCACATGTATAAATTTCTATATACTGATAAAGAGCTGCATATACTTTGAAATTCTTATGAATATAACAAGAAATAATGATTACAACAACTTACTCACTGTTAAGTAGAGTTGTATTTTTTTGAAAAAAAGTGTTTGTATTCTTTCAATTAAATTTGGTTAAAGTGGATTTTTTTGGTGTTCTTCACAGCGGTTAATATTTACATTTTTAATTAACTTTTTCCCCAAGTTGAATGTTCTTCAGCTAACCGGAAGTTGGTCATTTGGTCAGCCTTCAGCTTCTTCAAAATCATGGCCTAGAGTTCAATTCTAAGATAAAATTCGTTAGCATATAACTACAAAAAAATCTCTATATCATAATTTTCACTTAATTTACAAGATCAGTGAAGACCTACACTAACCTTTGAAACATAAATACAGTAAAAGTGTATACTATGAAGATTGAATTAAAAAAATATTACAGGAAAAAATTTCACTACGTCAAAAATGAGATGTAAGAGCAGTTTCACTTGAATTAAGAGAGTAGTTAATAGCGCTTTAAAATCACGTGCTATCTAATGTCTTTATTTTTAGAGAGCAGTTATTTAATCACTCTCAATATATATTTTGGAGAGCGGTTACGTGGTTAACCACTCTCAGAAGTTCACAAAAAGAGCAGTTAAGTGCGTAACCTCTCTATAAAATATAATACTTTGGAGAGCGGTTAAGATTGAATCGTTTTTACAAGTTACACTAAAGAGAGCGGTTGATAGGTTAACCGCTCTCTTCTCTCAAACTTATGAGAGCGGTTCAACTTGAATCGTTCTCTAAAGTTAAGAAACATTTTTAAATATTTTAATAAAACTGACATAAAACTTTTTTTTAGCACACCTGGTCAATTATACAGTATTCAGAACTAATGCAAATAGAATATAAAATTCGTGTAGTAAACTTCAGTAGCACATTATCTTCCGGCAGCATCTCATATAATAAACTTAGCAGCTCTGTGAAAGCTCTTATTAGTCCATCCATTCGAGACTTTTAAGTTATAAAGCTTTAAAACAGAACTCAATCTTGTGAACTTTGTACATCCATTATACAATGGTGTTTTTGCATCATCTTTCAGCTTCTCAAACATCTTTGGACAATCTCTAAAATCTTCTTTAACAATATTTGGAATTTGTTCAGCATGATCACTCTCATTTGTTCTAAATGTCTCTGAGTAATTGACACTTGATTCCATGTTAGTTGATGTACTTCCACCTTGTATCTCACCGTGCTTTGTCCACCAATCATATTTTTCATCTATCCTATTGCACATTAGATGTTCTTACAATTCTTTCACATTTACTTGTAACATATTCAAACAACACCAACAAGGACAGGAAATAAGGTTGACATCAGTTGCATTCTTAATCGCAAATCTAATAAACTCTTTGACTTCGTCTTCGTATTCTTCACTTAAACGATTAGCTACCATCCAACTTCGATCCATATTTGCTCCAACTACGGTTACGATCATTATAAATGTGACTGTCTTATTAACTCTCACATGGTAGGGTCCTATCCCATTTGAGAATAAACTTTTTCCAACCTTAATTAACAAATGCTACTTAAATGTTGTATTTTTTACTTGACAAAATTTGGGCAGCATTTCGCATTACTCTCCTAGTATACAACTTGAAATATATGAGATGATTTACCTCAATCATGCATGCACCAAGAGACAATGAGAAATGCTTCAAACTCAAATTTTGTTACGTATTAAATATAACATTATGAGAAGTAAATGCTGACAAATTAATGAATCAATTTGTTCACAAACTATCCAAGTTGGACAATTTAAGATTGAAAAGAATGATTTATTAAAAATTATTTTCAATCTCAAACGGGAGACTATGGTTTCACTCAATTTTACATTTGAAGTCATAACCTACAAAGTTTAATCACTAACAATAATCATGCATTCATCACATTCTATAATACAACATCAAATTCATTCATACACAGAGGAAATATACATTTTGGGGGCAAAACAAATAAGAATATAAAAATTTTAAAAATTCTAATATCATAGGTTAACAAATACAACAACATGCTCTTCCATTATAACTAACCAATGTCCTAATATCATGTTCAACAAATCCTAAAAAATCATTCCAACAACATTCTAGAGGTTAACAAACTAAGATTGAACCTGGTCATATCAACTTTTACAAAATAAAAAGTAATTTCATGCTCTTTGTTCACGCAGCAGCAATGGTCAACATGTTAACAATATTTAGTTCATACAAATTATAAACACAGCAACATGCACTAACCTGGAATTAAGAAAGGAGTGCAAATTTGTCACAGTTCAGCTATGACCAAAAATGAAGGAGACGTTGTCACTGTTCAACGTCAAAAACAGAGGTACGTATCAGTGAACAGAGAGAATGAGAGAGTGCAAATGTCCAAACATGGCCACAAAACAAAGAAACGATTATGAATATACCTTCAATTTCCAATTGTGATGTCAAGTGTGCTTGTTCCTTTGCAAAAATTTCTCAAAGAATACTGAACAGAGAGAATTTTGAAGTACAGACTTGGCGGGCGACAGGAATAACTAGATTAGAGTTTTAAAAATACAACATCTGGGAACTATTATGAAATAACCGCTCTCTAATATGAACTTCTGAGAGCAGTTCATTTGGAATCGCTCTTTAATATATACTTCTTAGAGTGGTTATTTAACAACCGCTTTAAGAAGTATATATTAGAGAGCTCTCAAAAGTCCATATTAGAGAGCTGTTCTAATGGAACCGCTCTAAAAAATATATATTAATATTTTATACAAAGTAATTATTACTAACCGCTATTTAAATAGGGGTTAAAAACTAATTTATGGCGTAATGTTTATCTAATTAGATGCTTTGGTGAGATAATAAAATAAAAAAGGTTGTGTAAGAGTTTTGATGTGACTGAAGTGATAATGGTTGAATCCACTAACCCTTTATTTTTCTTTCCAGTAATGGCGCGGCGTGGGGTTGCCGCTGGTCGTGGGGCAACGATAAATGTTTCTTTTAATTTCGTTGCATTGATATGAGTTTTCATTTTAGGATAAACATACTTTTCCTGCTTCTTTTTCTTCCAACCTTTTCAGCAAATACATTTCACTTCATGTTTTTCAATTCCACTCTTAATCATCACAATTATATATTTTCAGTGTTTATCAAGTTTTGACTTTATTTGGTGATATAATGTCACATTATATCCCTTGTTATGTTTTCCATATTAATAATAAGTTATATTTTTATTTTTAAATAATTTTCTTATATAGTTTGAAAATAAATTCAACAATGCCGTAAAGTAATTGTTTTAACCAAATTTTGTATGGAATAATTGACAATTTTGTTAAAGAATTTCAACATTTTGATTCTCATGATTCACTCTGTTGTTACTCCCTCCATGGAGAAGTAAGGACAAAACTGGGAGATAGTGATAACTTGAATCAAATAAAAGTGGGAAGACATTAAAGAAGGATTTGGGATATTTAAAAATGGAAAGACAAAAAAAACAATAGAGGAAAGCAACAGAACATTTTAAAGAATGATATACACTTTTTTTATGAATATTTTATCCCTTGTTTCTTTTAACTATTACTACTTTCTAAAAATGTTAATGTTTATTTCAAAATTATTTTCTTTTTAAAATGCCATTTTTTCTATGATCATTGATAAATTGTATTTACACTGCTAATAAATTGTGTAAAAATTAAATTAAAGTATAAAATAAAAACTATTAATAGACATATATAATATGAGAAGTGTGTGCATATTTTTGTGCGTAAGAAAATACAATATTATTTATGAAAAAATAACTTCATAAAAAATTATGTATGGATATGTGTATGAAAAAAAAAATAATGATACTAATAACACTACCTCTAAACTGAACTACATGAGTGATGAAAATTATTATAATAACTCTACAAACAATATTTGATTATACTAGTATTCAATTATAAATTATCACACCATCAAGAATCTTTTATTTTTATAATAATTAATATAAAATTTATATTTATTGTAAATTTTAATTAATTAATAACATAAAAATATTTATATTGTTATAATTTGTTTTTACCCTTATTGTAATCTTAAATTTTTACCCCCTCTGGTGAAAATGAAAATGCTTTGTAGAGAGAGATGTTGGCAACTTGAATAAATATTTTTTTGAACTTAACAGACTGAACTTGGTGTTTTTGGGCCGGTCCAAAATTGGGCATTCAGCTTGACTTGAAACTCAGACTCACAATTAGATTTGGACCAAAAGATTTGATATCCAATTATAAAAGAAATAATATTAATTTTCATTCTTTCTTACTTCTAACGGGTGTATCCAGGAAGGTGCATTCAAGCCGCACCCAACTCTAACTCCAGTGCCGTCTCTATCTGTGAGCCTTTTTCTAAAAGATTTGCATAAATCAAAATTAAATAAATAAATAATTCAAGATTATATATATAATCCCTTCCCTGCTTGCTTAACTTTGGACTTATCCATTTCAATTTCTCTAATTAATAATTCATTCCATGACCAAACCATTCAATTACATTTTTAATCTCAGTTCTCAGACCTAATTAGAGTGATAACTTTTCAAAACTCGATACTTGATCAAGAGGAGAAAATTCATAGCCACTTTGACTAGTCAGCGAAAAGGACAACCTCACAATCCGAGCCAACAAATTACTTCCACTATTCATAACCCATTCAAGTTTAGTTTATTATTTATTTAAAAACAATCATTTATCAAGAAATAACTTCTTTAAAGCATGTGTTTGTACTTATTATTTTCTTCTGAAAATAAGAACAAAAGGAATCAATTTTGAATAATATAATTGGAAAAATAACTCATTGCAGAACAGAGTGCCAACTGAGGACTTGGATGTTGTGGAAAAGAAGAAAAAACCAAGTGTGAAGAAAACTGTTTAATTGTGTTATTGCCAATCCCAATCCGCACAACACGTTTGGTGCTCGTGTTCAAACTTGGAATCCAAGCGCTGACCCCAAAATTAGTCATAGTTTCATAATTCAGTTCATACCAATGTCTCGCTGAGTCACAGGCGCTAATAAAACCCTCTCTCTTTCTTTCTTTCTAAGCAGAAGAAGAAGAGAAAAAGAACAGAAATGGGTATGGGTATGGGTATGGGTGGGGGCAAAGGAGTTGTTTGGTTAAAAGTAGTAGCAGCAATGGCGGTGATAGCGAGCGTGGGCTTAGTAGCAGAGGCTCAGCTAGTAGCAGAGGCTCAGCCAGAGGCCAAGTTCAAGTGCGGGATGGAGAACGCGACGTGTCACGGCCTGATAGACTACAAGCACCCAAACGGCACGACACTGGGCGCAATCCAAACGCTGTTCAGCGTGAAGCACCTGGTGGACATCCTGGGAGCAAACAACCTTCCCACAAACACCACTAAGAACTACCGAATCACACCGGAGGAGGTTGTTAAGGTGCCGTTTCCGTGCAAGTGCTCGAACTCGACGGGACTCTCCAACGGGGTTCCTCTTTACAAAATTAAAAAAGGGGACACGCTGAACGACATAGCCACCACCGTTTTCGCGGGTTTGATGAAGTACCCCCAGATCCAGGTTGCAAATAAGATACCTGATGCTAATAATATCACTGCTGGAGATACCCTTTGGATTCCCCTCCCATGTAGCTGCGATCAGGTGGGTGGCAGCAGTGTCGTGCACTATGCCCACCTTGTCCAATCTGGCAGTTCCGTTCAAGCCATTGCTGATCAGTACGGTACCACCCAGCAGATTCTACTCACCCTCAATGGGATTACTGACCCCAAGACTCTTGAGGCTGGTCAAATTCTCGATGTTCCCCTCCGAGGTATTTTGCAATTCTTTCTGTTTCCATTATTATTGCTCAAAATATCACATACATAAACATTTATAATTGGAATTGTTTACTTGTGCCAGCTTGTTCCTCCAGTGTGAAAAATGACTCCTTGGATTCCCCTTTGCTTGTTGCAAATGCCTCTTACGCTTATACTGCTAATGAATGCGTCAAGTGCAAGTGCGATTCCGGTAACAACTACATGTGAGTGCCTCCTAAATCCTAATCAATTTTCTGCCTTTTTTTTGTAGAGGAAGATTGTGTCATTAATTTGTTCAAAATTTGTGTGTTTAGATTGCAATGCGAGCCATCCCAACTCAAACCAACCAACTGGTCCGTTTGCCCCTCTATGGAATGCTCACCAAACATCTTCATCGGCAACACCACCTCTACAGATTCATGCAATCGCACAACCTGTGACTATACTGGTTATAGCTCCCGCAATATCTCTACCGCACTTGTAACACACGACACTTGTGCTGGTTAGTGCAAATAATTACTTGAATTTCTTGTTCAGAGAGAGAATTGCTTCATAAGCATCCATGGCCAAAATGATATTGCTGACCAATGATATATGTTTGTTTCTGATTGCTTTCAAACAGTGCCACCAAGTGGTTCAGGTTCAGGGGCATCCAGGAGCACTATACAAGCCTTGCTTTGGAATAATCTTTTCGTTGGCATTCACTTTCTCCTCTTTTTTGTCTATGTTTTGTAGTAAAGTACCCTTCACTCTTGCACCCATTTTTTTAGTGGATTTGTCCACCTGTAATTTTCTCGATGTTTTGTCATGTCAGTGTCGCCACAATTGAACCTTTTATGTTTTACCTTTGCAATCTTTGTAACTTGAATAAATGTCTGAAAGAAAAGGAGTAATATCTGAACTATTGTAATGTGTACATTTTTCGGCACGCACTCCTATTCACCCACCTATTCATGATTTATCCAAATTCCGAATACAAGATATAAAGTAAGCATGTAAGAAAACCTTGGTTTGAACATTATTGGGGACAGCTAAAGATGATGATCATTAATCTTAATTCAGAGTTCGAACTAATCCAATAATGTAATGTATTATGTAATGTCGAATGTCGATTAGAATCCTAGAAATTTCAAGTGAATCAAACTAGGAAATTGGACGTGTTTCTCGACAGAAAACAGTATAGCCCTGGCAGCAAATATTTTGTGCAATACAGTTTTCTGTATAACAATCAAATAACCATATTTCGACCTGGCAGGGATATAAGGATAATCCAAAAGATCCATTGGTTTCATCCAGTCATTCCTGATTTTGTGTATCTCATTGGTGACTTAGCGTATGTTTTGTACCGCGTTTTCTACCACTGAGCGTGCGTGTATTAACTCTATAAATGATAGGAGTGTTTACTGTCATTCCAAAATATCTGTTACTACATTTTATTTTAATATTTTTTATTAAATATTATTTAATTAACTTAACTAACCAACAGAAAAGAACATTTTACATAAACATGATTAGAAAATGTAATAATAGACATTTTGGACTAACAATAAAATCGTTCCAAATAATAGCTTCCAGTTTTAAATGCATGTATACGATGATTGAACACGGATCCAAACATACGTTTAATACAATAATTTAACCACGAGGCTCATTTTTGTTTGCTTTTAATGTTTAAGAGCTTCTTTGAATTAAAAAAATGCTGGTAATTCCAAGAATGAAATTCTGAATTGTCAAAAATGTTAATGACATCCGTGTCATTCCATTATTATGGGCTTACCATTTTCAGTTGCACACTTTGGACTTGGAGGTGTTGGTCAATGTAAACCATGATGGAGTGGAAATTTGCCTAGTATTAAGTTGTTCTTCGTTGTTTATAGTCAAATTTCCCATTATTATCTACCAAATAAGCGAGGAGCAAGAGCAGCTGGATTAGCCTGTGTTCTTTCCTCCACTTTCTTTCACTTTCCACAGCCACAAACATAATATAAAATAATTTGTGGTGGTTGAGAAGATTCTGCTATTATTTTTCTCGGCATTTGTCACGACCACTTAAATAAAATTGTGTTTGTCGGGAAAGCTTTAAAACTAAGTTTTATGAATTTATGACAAAAGAACCTTCCGTCTCGGTCTTTGTATCGCATGAGAATAACAGATTCAACGAAACTTTTCAAAGTTTAGCAGTGGCTTCATATAATGCGAATCCACCTCTACATAATCATAGCTTCAATTTGCGCAATTATTTATGGCATGCTTATTAGCATATATACTCCTCTTCAAGGGAAATACGGCCATTTGATCTCTTATTTTCCTACATCATATCGTTACTATAAGTTTGTGACTAGTGAATGAGTTTCATCAAAGCTAGTTTAATCAAACTACATTTCTATAATTTTTTCCAGATACACTCATACTTTCTCATAACTTCAAATCCGCTTAGCTGATTATTGCTTCATTTTCATATACCTTCAAATGCTTCTCCTTCTTCAAGATGACTCATATCCTGAACTCTAAGAATCACACTGCATAAAGGTTACCAGAAAATAAATTTTAACAGAAATGTTAATACAAACATAGCCACCTGATATGGCACGTTCCGTTCCACGGATTAGAGAATCCAATTGCCGAAAGGTATGATCTGATTGCCGACTCTGAAAACATTCTTATTGCTCAATACATTAGTGAATACAGTCAGCTTCTTTCGTATGCGCTTATTGTTCAACAATGAAGGAGACCAACCCTTTAGCATCTTTCTCACTCTCCACGACAACTACATTATCTGACACATTGGTCACGGAATGTGCTACAAATTTAGGCTCGTCTTGGGCATAAAATGAATATTGAAAATGACTAATCCGATTAGGAAATACCAAAACCGATGAAAAATCAGCCACCCATTTTGTGCCGTTTCCGCTCACAGTTAACTTCCCAACCGTTGATCTCAAGCTCATGCCGTTCACATTGTTTCTATCGATCACCACTTGATCAATGATACTGAATTGCCCATCTAGATTTACAATTGGAACCTTCGTACTGGGGTCACCACTAAACATATTATCCACAATATTTAGGCCAAAAATTTGACCTTTAATAGACTTCAATAAAATACTAGCATCCCCAATAAATAAGCCATTGGTGACATGAACCTGAACAGGGTCTTCCATGACTAGGCCAGTATAATCTAAATAACAATTGTCAATTCTAGTTTGTGAATTACCTGTCAATTTCACCAAAATGCCTATACCACCAAAAGATGTTGCCTTGTTATAACAATGTACCCCTGTTAGAATGTTAGCTTGACCCCTTAGCATAACACCAATGGCTGCAGAGAAAATTGCAACATCTGTGACAGCATTATCATTACTAGCAAGATCAATGGCAACCCCTGAAAAATCCTTCTCACCTCTGTCGCCACCAACGGTTGAGTGCTGCCCAAGAAAACAACTTGATATGAAGGTTTCGTGTCCTTGCTGGACCAGAATTCCTTCAGTGGTGAAATGAAGGAAGAAGCAATTGTTGATCCGGGTTCTAGCAGAATCAACAACGAATATTCCTCCTCCTCTATAGCTTGAATCAAAGAGTATGTCGCGGAAGGTTATGTCTTCATAATAAATTGCATTTGTTTCAGCTTTAATGTCGTTGATGCCATCAACATGCAGTGATTCTTTAGTCTCAAGTTTACCCGAATTTGATGACCATAGCTCAACTAGATGTCGATCACCAGGAAATGTATCAGACGCTCTCAAGGTTCCTCCTTTCACCTAATCAATCACACTTTTCATGTTTTTATGATGAAATAAATACCTTCTGAACTGAAGTGAAAATCATATAATGTATCAGAAGAATTGATGGAGGAGTCGAATTAATGATAAATTAAAAATAAGAGACACAACACTCTATAATATATATTTTAATTATTAACTAAAATTTATTAATTTATGTTGGCCTTCCCTGTAATCTAATGAGTTTTCTTTATAATTTTATATGTTAATAACTTTAATTAATAAAAAATATATTAAAAATAATAAACATACTATGACGCTCCATGTTGAAAATTGATCATCCAAGGTTTGTTTATAATTTCAAATTGAGGCACTGTGAGTTGGGTACACGGCATGCCCAAACCTCCCAAAATTCAAATATCAAAGGCTTTTAATTGGTCAGTGATTTTTGGTAGTGAATATTAAGAGTATTACATCATATTGCACGGTCTGCTAAACATACGAAGGAACCGTTTCAAAAAACCAGAAAAGCACGACATGTACGAGAAAAGATGGAAAAACATTTTACGTGACAGAAAATCAAACACGTGTAACCCTACGCGTTTGCTCGTGCAAAAACCGCTTCGCAGCTAAAACCCATACATTAAATTCTGGAGTAAAATAAATGCTGTAAATAATTGTATTAAATTATGAGGTTTTATTTTTTCATATATGATATTTAAAAATTATATATATCAAAATTTAACTTTTAAAGTAAGGAATTATCCTAACATGCAAATCCTGTACAGTTATCGTTTCCTATGGATATTATTAACGCGTCAGTTTGATTGGAATTTATAGATAAAAATAAATATATCAAATTTAATAGTGCCAGTTAAAATATAAAAAAAATATTATTTTTTAACACTTGATAATAATATAGCCATTAAGTGAAGGTGTCAGACACAATAAATAAAGGGAAAAGGACCTTATTTAAAGACATAGTTAAATCATCTTTAATATTAAAAAAAATATCTATCAAATTGAATTCAAGTCTTGAGTTGACAAATCATAAATTTTGATAAACTTAACAAAATTAATAAAATTATTTAAAACTAATCAAATCAATCTGCCTACTTTTTTTTATTATTGTTGTCAAAACAAATATTATAATCACACCTTAAAACTAGAAGAGGTGGAAATAAGGTAACATTTCTGTGTAGACCATGGACACGTTTTGGAAAATAACTGTAAACAAACAGATTAAAAATAAGGAGAAAAAAAAACATTTTTTTAATTTTGTTTTCATTTACTAATATTTTGGTTTATGTTTTACCAATTAATGGTTTCATGGAGAGACATGACACATTCTGTAGAAAACTTATGGCAGAAAAAAGAAGATATCAGAGTGAGAAATGATACTGACCACAACATTGCCACCACCAGATGAAGGGAATGTAATGGGCTTGCTGATTTTGTAGTTCCCACCTTGTAAATCAATGACAACACCACCAAGGTCATTCACTCCTCTCACCAATTCAAGACCCTTTTGCAACCCAAAGGCTTCATCCACAGCTTTCAAAATTGCATCACTACTCTCTTCAGACCCTGATGGGTCTGCACCATATTCACTAAGGTACAACACCCTCCCACTCTGGTGATCATATTCACAAACACAATGAGAGAAAAGCCATAGAAGAACTATTGTTGTTAAAGGAAAAATAATGCAATGTAACTTACCATCTTGGTTGGTGATGCCATGGGGGGAAACAAAGGACTAGCTAATTTTTGTTCAAGTTTGTTCTTGTATTCTGACAGCTTTTCCTCTCTGTTGAAAGTGAAACATGTGGCTTCATCTACCACAACCAATACTATGACAAAACTCACCGCTGAGAATCTCATTCTTCACGTAAATTTTTCAAACCGATTTTTTGTTTTATAAGCAGAACTGAATTGAATTTCTTCTGGAAGAGAATATTTGGTGGGTATAACATAAATTTTAATTTTTTATTTTTAACTTTTTGGGTGTTTATTTAGGAGGGAAGTCACCTGAAAAGGGCAAGGACGTGTGTTGAGTCTTTACGACGTTGAATTGGTGGGTTCAGTCCCTGTCCATGTCTCCCTTACCTGTAAGCGTTAAAGATGACACGGAAAACGAAGTAAGCTGTGGAGTTTTAAAATTTTTATGCATGATATTATTTGTATACCCAATAATTAGTGTTAGAGCCTTAGAGGTTAAGAAATTATATATATCATCAGCTTAATTCTCTAATAACAATTATATTAAGATACCCTTCAATATAAATGTTTAGTTCTTGATATTACTATTTTAAATTAACAGGCTGTTTATTAAAATTCAAATAAATAACACTTATATCTTTGTTAAAAAATACCTTTACATATAAAAAAAAACATTTGAAAAAGGGAAAAAATGGAAGAATTGTTACTTTTACCAAATAAAGCTAATCGAATTTGTAGCATAGATCCGTGAAAAAACAAATGTGTACCATACAGGAATATATACTGCCTTTGTGGCTTTGCATCTTGGAATTTCATTACTTTTATGACGTTTCTTTCCAAACCCCTTTATTATTTGTTTTAGCTTTTTGCTTTCAATGCCATGCAGGAATACTATTGCTTTTAATTATATATAATGTACTCTTTACATGATTAACTATTTACTTGCCTGATATGAAGAAGCTCGTTGATAATTTACAAGGACAAATATCATGAACTAAACAAAAAATGCACACGGAACATTCTTCAAATGAAATTACGATTGCCTCCAAAATTAATGAGAAAAAAAAAATAGTAGATGAATAAGAGCCTATTTGTATTGGTATCAGTAACACAGAGTGGATATATTAGTAAAAAATAATGGACGGATCATATTATCGACCTTTTTAAAAAAAATACTTGTAGATAAAAAAAACTTTAACAACACTTAGGATGCTAAATATTAAGATTATGATAATGCACAACAATTTTACAATGAAAAATCATGCATATCTGATTAATGTAAAACACAATATAAGAATATTTTAAACACTAAGCACAAATTACCTACTTTTCTGCCCAACAAATACAACTACAAGAAATAAGCTTTTTTTTTTTCTGAATTAGTACAAATTTGATGGTAACTCCAATAAATTTGAAGTAAGGAAAGAATAAGCCAATAAATTTAAAAAAAGATAGAGATAAAATTAATGATAAGAAGAAATGTGATTAAGAAAAAAAGAGGTAAATAAAAAGAAGTTGCACAAGATAAGAGAAACAAAAGAGATTATACTTATTATTATTGTTCTTTAGATGCCCCTCTTTTTTTTCCTAAATGGTGTTGTGCTGGGGTGGGCCGGGCTTTAGCTTTACAAGAAACCCAATTGGTTGAGCTGAAAACCCAAAGTTATTGAAATGGGCCAGGCTCAGCCCTTCTCTGTGTGTTTTCCCATTGCAATTACATTTGCATTTGCAATCACCGCCCTCTGTCTTGCTTTGACGTCTCGAACCCTCTCTCCGGTAATCTTTCTCTTTCTACCTTCTCTTCATAATCATGCTTTCCCTTTCGCTGAAGAACTTAACCATTTCCTCTAATTATTATTACAACCCTTGTCTTTACTTCGCATTATTCTGCTTCGAATCTTAAACCTGTATCTAATTGCATCTACTCATGATCTTAGACAGTATAGAATTTATGCATTAGAGAGAAAAGTTGGGGTATTGTAGAAAAAATGGTAAAATCTTGCCTTAAGTGGTTTGACATGTGTGAAGGATGATAGATTAGATGAAGGATAGGTCTATCGCTAGTGGAAAAACTATCGGTGAAATTGTCAAGGGGGATTAGAGGTGAAGCTATGGACATGATTTATATAACATCGTTGTGCATTTTATTCATGTAGCTGACTGCCACTTAGTGGGGAACGGCTTGGTAATTGTTGTTCTTATATGGATTTGAGGTGTTTTAACTACAATAGATAGGACAGATTAGATATAGACGACTTTGGTTATGGTGCATGAAGGCAAAATGAATTATGTTATGTGAAAAAAATTCAATTGATAAACTAACCTTTTGCCAATTGGTCGAAGGTGATGGAATAAAACGGTATCATGTTCCATTGTTTCATTTGATGTTTTATAAAATTATTAAATGTTTTGTTTCTCCTTATCCTAATAAATTTTGTGGATGTCCTTCCTCCGTATGGTATTAGCTTTAGCTATTGTTAGTATGCTTATGCTTGCGAATGCTTCCTATTGCAGCTCACTGAATACCTCATACCGCATTTTTAAGATTTATTGTATGTTTTAATCCTTTCCACCTGAAATCTTATTATTGACGAATGGAATCTAAATGCTTGTGGGATTATTCATTGTCTTTATATGCTTATGCTTGCTGCTCCATACCACCATCAATTACCGTGCCAAACATAGCTTAGTGTTTGGAATAGCTTTTTAACAGGGAAATAAGTGTTTTTTTCTTTACCAAAAACTTTCAGGAAGCTAAAAAAAAGATTATTTGTTTAAGTAACCAAACATCTAATTGATCTGGGGGAGATTTTTTTAATTTGGTCTCATGTTATATGGATTCTGTGATTTCCAGCTTGGCAGATATAGTTATGTACTAAGAAGGTAACAACATGGAAGTAGCTCTTGTTTTTAGCATCTTGAATTAAAATTACAATATTTGTTTACCCCTTGAATTTACTGAATGTTCTGGTGATCACATGAGCAATTGCGTCAAGACTTTTGTTAGTGTTGATTGTTTATTTGTAAATTTTTTCTTAACCCATATAAGCTTTTTCTTTTCCTTTCAATTGTGTTTTCATTACATTTTTATTTATCTGTAAATTAAATACACTGAGATTTTCCTGGTCGGATGTCAAGTTGTAGAATAATGGGACGGAAAACTGGCGCGCTTCATATCAACCCTAAGAGATTTGGTTCGCTTCATAAACCTTGCATGAAGGAAATGATACTGTTTCTCAACTGTATGGCTGCAAGCCCTAACAATAGTGATGCGTGTGCTCGGCAGAAGGAAGTATTAAATGCCTGTATGGATTCTCAGGTAACATAGAATTATACATATAGCTCAATGAAATTTGGCATTTTTGTCATTCTCTAACCTTCTCATAATTCCCTTTTTAGTTTCTTTATTGCATTACTTGAGAACTAAGTAGTGCAAAAAATTCTTCAATTTTGTTTTTCAGAGTAAAAAAAACAGAAAATCTTGGGGGAGTATCAATTATCAACTGCAGAGGCTTAGCCGAGGAAGAAAGTAGCTTGAGGTTTTCATATATGTATCACTTTTACAATTTGAGATTGTTATTTGGACGGCTAGCAACCTCCTAGTGTCACGACCTCTTTTATAAGGAACTGAGAACATTATTTCTACATCACATATTTATTTAAGATAAATAAATAATAAAAAATATAATTATAAAATTCACTTCTTATTGAAAATAAAACAAAATTTCTTACAACAAATATCCAATAGAACAACATAATATTACATTTAGTTTATAATATTTAAAATATATAAAAATTATACTACGTAGCTCCTTCTATATGAGGTTTCAAAATATAAAGAAAAAGGATTTTGATGTAAAATTACTCGACTTTAGTTTCTAACATTTCTTCACTGACTCCTCAACCTGTGAAGTAGATGCAACACCTGCTACATCTGTTCACGTATCACCGTACGATCATCGCATTACACATGCACACAACGACATAGAAAAAAATGCAAGGTTGAGCTTATAAAAAAAAATTGTACATATATAACAAAACATTATTCACAGCAACAGTTTCATGCATTACCAGCTCATCTAATGCACAGCATGAAAATGGTTTTCAACTGGTTTCATAGCTTAAGTAATCCAGAAGGAACCGAGCCGGTCTGGGAGCGACTCATTTCTGGATCCAGACAGCACAGCACAACAGCTCAGCATGAACTTACCATTACACGTTTATCCACCTAAACATGTAACTCGGCTCTATAATGATGCAAAACATATATCTCAGCATGATGCACACCGTTAAAATTATTTTAACAACTCAGCTAAGGCAAGTTTATAATAAATCAGTCAAAATTTTAGCATTTTAAACAATTAACAACAGTTACAGCTTAGAAAATAGCTTTTACTCAATAGATCTAACAAAATCATATCAAAACATCTTGAAATAGTATATTAAACCGTTCAAAACGTAGTTCATAGGTTAAAGTAAGCTCTCTTTACCTCAGAACGATGATTCACACTAGATTTACCGAATATTACTTGTTTTAACGTAAGATTCACCAAAGATTAGGCTTTAGAATGAAGTTTCTCCTAAAATATTATCAACTATCTATAAGAAAGAGAAGAAGAGAAACGAACGGTAAATCTAATTTCAAACTTATAGAAACTTACTTCGAATCCTTCAGAATAGACGTAGAATTTCAGATCTGGCGAGAAATTTAAGTTTATGAGGGTTTAATATGAGAAAAAATGGTGGTATATGGCCTTGGAACCTTTGAGAACTTTGAATAGGAGTGAAGAAATGAAAATTTCGTATGAAGTCCCCTTTTTATAGAAAATTTTTGAAATTTACTGTTCACCGCCAGAATTATTGTTCATCGCTGGAAACACTGTTTATCGCCTTACTGTTCACGCCGAAAATACTGTGCACGCATGCTGTATACGCACTGTATGCGTATGTGACGTCAGTCATGACGTCAGGATGATGTCACTGATGACGTCAGGATGATGTCACTGATGACGTCAGCGGTCACTGTACATACACAGTTTTTACTGTTTATACACGGTTTGTACGCAGTTGTAGTGTTCATAGGCGGTTTTACTTTTCAAGCATATCTAGTTCCTTAACTCTAGTTTCCTCGATACAAGCAGCTTGGACCTCCACAGACAAATCATCTCGTAACTCCACAACATCAGGCTTGATTACATGAGACGAATATGGAACATACTTCCTTAGCTGCGACACATGGAAAACATTATGTAGTCCAGACAACTGAGGTGATAGTGCTAATTCATAGGCTACTGGTCCTCTATGATGTAATATCTGATATGGTCCTATGAACTTAGGTGTTAACTTCTTGGCCCTTAATGCTCGCTCCACACCTGTAGTGCGTGATACTCTCAAGAATACGTGATCACCAACATCAAATTCTAGGGATCTTCTGCGTCGGTCAGCATAAGATTTTTGTCAACTTTAAGTAGCTTTCAACTTTTCTCTAATAAATTCAACTTTCTCTTTAGTTTCTTGCAGCATTTCAGGTCCAACCATCAAATGTACTCCATCTTAGAACCAACAGATAGGGGTTCTACACCTTCTGCCATACAAAGCCTTAAATGTTATCATATCTATACTCGAATGATAGTTATTATTATCAGTAAATTCTACCAAAAGAAGCATATCTTTCCAATTACTCCTCTGCTCTACAATATAAGTCCGCAATAAGTCTTCTAAGGTCTGAATAGTACACTCAGATTGACCATCTGTATCAACCGCCTACAAACCGTGTATGAACAGTAAAAATCGCGTATGTACAGTGACCATTGACATCATTAGTGACATCATCTTGACATTATGGCTGACGTCACATACGCGTACAGTGCGTGTACAGCACGCGTGCACAGTGTTTTCAGCGTGAAAAGTAAGGCGATAAACAGTGTTTTCGGCGATGAACAATAATTCTGGTGATGAACAATAATTCCGGCGATGAACAGTAAATTTTGAAAATTTTCTATAAAAAGGGGGCTTCGTACGAAATTTCTATTTCTTCACTCTTATCTAAGGTTCTCAAAGGTTCCAAGGCCATATACTACCATTTTCTCTCATATTAAACCCTCTTAAACTTAGATTTCTCGCCAGATCTGAGATTTTACGTCTATTCTGAAGAATTTGAAGTAAGTTTCTATAAGTTTGAAGTTAAATTTACCGTTCGTTTCTCTTCTTCTCTTTCTTATAGATAGTTGATGATATTTTAGGAGAAACTTCATTCTAAAGCTGAATTTTACGTTAAAACAAGTAATATTCGGTAGATCTGGTGTGAATCATTGTTCTGAGGTAAAGAGAGCTTACTTTAACCTATGAACTACGTTTTGAACGGTTTAATATACTATTTCAAGATGTTTTAATATGATTTTATTAGATCTATTGAATAAAAGTTATTTTTTAAGCTGTAACTGCTGTTAATTGATTTAAAATGATTAGATTTTGGCTGATTTATTATAAACTTGCTTTAGTTGAGTTGTTAAAATAATTTTAACGGTGTGCATCATGCTGAGATATATGTTTTGCATCATTATAGAGCCGAGTTACATGTTTAGGTGGGTAAACGTGTAACGGTAAGTTCATGCTGAGCTGTCTGGATCCAGATACCAGAATGGGTCGCTCCCAGATCGACTCGATTCCTTCTGGATTACTTAGGTTGTGAAACCAGTTGAAAACCGTTTTCATGTTGTGCATTAGATGAGCTGGTAATGCATGGGACTGTTGTTGTGAGTAATGTTTTGTTATATATGTACGATTTTATTTTATTTTTGTAAGCTCATCCTTGCATTTTTTTTCTATATCGTTGTGTGTATGTATAATGCGATGATCGTACGGTGGTACATGAACAAATGTAGCAGGTGTTGCATCTACTTCACGGGCTAAGGGGCCAATGGAGAAATGTTAGAAGCTAGAGTCGAGTAATTTTGCATCAAAGTTCTTTTTCCTTATATTTTGAGACCTTATGTAGAGAGGGCTACGTAGTATAATTTTTGTGTATTTTAAATATTATAAACTAAATGTAATATTATGTTGTTCTATTGGATATTTGTTATAAGAAACTTTGTTTTATTTTTAATGAGAAGTGAATTTTATACTTATATTCTTTATTATTTATTTATTTTAAATCAGTATGTGGTGTAAAAATAATGTTCTCGGTTTCTTATAAAAGGAGTCGTGACGGTCAGGGACTATTCTTCTAAGGAGAATCTTTCCTCTTTTGTGAAGCTTTTTATTATTATTATAATGATAATTACACTTTTTTTTTAGAGGGGGAGTTCTTCTAAGGGATCCTTTCCCCTTTTATAAAGTTTTTTTTTCTTATTACTATTAAGTTTCCTCTCCTCTTTAGTGAAAGCGTTTCTTACCTTCTTTTTCATTTTTTTTTTGTCAATATTTATTTATCCTTTAATTATGTGTTTTTAGAAAGGAAAACAAAGATGCTCTATTTTTATTTATTTTTTACTTGAACTAACAAAGTCAGTTACACCAACCATAAAGTAAAAAAAAAAGATAGCAAAAAGAAGAAAAAACAAAGGGAGTAGTTTTGTCTAATTGATGCAACAACAAGCAAGCGGAGAATATTTGTTTTGATCAAAGTTTATAAAGGCCTTTTATGTTTTTTTTTTTATGCACGAGTGGACATGCTTTTTTAATTATTATGTTTTGAAGATTATTATTATTTAATATTTCATGTTAGTTTCAATTTCAATACTTAGATATAAATATATTTTTTTAACTTAATCTCATTGTTATTGAAAAATAAAAACATAAAAGTGAGTAGTAATAATTGATTAATATTCATGCACTAATGCATGTTATCCACCCCTATATCGTTATGAAAAATGGTGCATAAAAGATGTGCTCATCAATTGCAATGCTTTTGCTCCATAGCAAAACAATTAAACAGTTGTTAATGATTTTTTCATAAGTGAATTTTTTGTTGATTTACCCATGTGAGTGTTGTTTATAGGTTGAAAGGCCTATTTGTTTGATACCTAAAATCAATACTCTGCACACAATCTAATGTGAAAAATGATAATTAAAATGAGTTTAGACACAATTTTAATTATATTTGATGGTTTAAACCTAATTATATTAAATTCGGTTCTACTAACCTGCAAATGTAACAAAATGGAAATTCTAAAGTTTTGGGTTGCGTTGTATCTATTTTCGCTAAAAACCTGAAACCCTATCAGCATTTAGCAAAACGCCTTTAAATTTTTCACTGTTTCCTTCATCATCCTCGTTGATAGATCATCTTTCGATCAACAAGTTTCAGTGTATGACACTATGTTTTGAAACTTTGTGTACGCTTGTAACAGTCTTTCTTTCCATAACTTGATTTAAAATTTTTTGGATGCCTTAAGTATTGTTTATTAATTAAAATTAAAATTTTATTTTAATAAATAAATTTATATTTCATGTTATTGTAAATTATTTAGGTGAAATTTAAATCTTAGTTATAGAACAACATTAAAAAACACCTATAATATTAGAAGTAAGTTTTGAACTTTATTTGCAAGTTGGACAGTGGACCTTGTAAACATTTCACTAATTTAAACATCAACATAATTTTTAAGATTAATTTCATATAATTGTATAAAGTATCATTTTATTGAAAGAGAAATTATTTATTATATTTAATAAAACATATTTTCATTAATTTTAAATATCTTAAAATAAATATTAAGAGTTAATATATATATAAGTGCCTTTATAAGTTGTATATTTAAAAGTTGTGCGATACGGGTTATGTTGAAAGGTGAGTTAATTCAACTTGCCTCACTTTATAATGAGTAAGAGAAAATGTTAATTTGATTTAACTTACTATTTTGGTGAGTTTATTCGCTAAATAAAAAATAGAAAAAATAAAAGAAAATATATAAAAAAAGAATAAAAATAATGTCATAAAATGTTATTTTTATAACTCATAAAAGGATTTAAAAAATAAAAATAAAGTATAAAAAATTAATCTATTAACCAAAAGATAGCTTATTTAATCTACATAGACGAATAAAAAAAAATCATTCAAAATTCTTTATCATTCTACTAAGTTAATAATGTAATTTTATTTATTGGATGAGTTTGTGTGAATATAAAAGGAATTATTTCATTAATAGAAAAAAAATTGCAAAAAATTGAAAAAAAAATATGAATTTTATTTTAATTTTTTTATAACGTCTACTGCTAGAAATTTTTTGTATATACAAAAATTATGACCATTTAGATATAGTAGGTGAGTCTATTGCTGAAAATCTTTTACATACACAAAGACTCAAACTCGAGATGTTACTTAAGCGATATCGAATCACTTATTACTTAAACTAATTTCTGTTATTTTCATTCATTCGTTGAGCTATAGAAACGTTATTTGTTTTATACACAAAAAATTTAGAATTGAAACTAAGACATATTTAAAATTGGAGTTCTTTAATTTAAGCCAACACATATAGATATATCTAATTATGTGGCTAATATATCGTTGATTTAGTTATTTTTTACTTCTTTTTTTTTTAATTTTTTAGATTTGTAAGTAATCCTTAACTTTATGATATAAAAAAATAAATTTAAGTTTCTCAATTAAAAAAATAAAATATTATTCCACATTGTATTATATTTAATGTATACAAAATTAATTATTATTAAAATATAAAATAACAATGACAAGTATTATTAAAGTAATGAGAAATGCTAACTAATAATGTACTTTTTTAAAATATATTATTAGTTATTGATTAAGTTTATTAAAAACAGCAAAAATACGAGAAAGAAGTATTAAAAAAGTGTAATTTATATGATTTTATTATTTTTTTATAATTTTTAACATGTTAAAAATAACATATTATTAATATTTTTTTGAAGTAATAGATATTAAATAATAATAATAGTTTTTTAAAGTTCTATTAATATATAAATATCTCATTGAGTATTGGGTTAATTTTGGTGGGGTTACTTAAGATTATCAAGGATGCTAAAGTTTTATTTTGACTTTTCAATATAACTATGCTTTTTAGAGTCTTCGCTCGTAAATTTTAATTGAATAAAAGCAGTTATATGCCAACCTATTTACTTATTAGGTAACTTTTTTTGTTATTTTAAAAACACTAGAGTAAAAATTACAACATTAAAGTTGGTAACAGTTATATGCTAGAAACCGACCCAGGTGTTGATTTAGCTGATCTGATCTGAAATAGGGAACCCGTCATTCTCATTCACAAGAAAATCCCATTATTACATCAAAGTTGGAATCTTTTCATCTTTGCATCCATTTCCAATCTAAGAAATGTCATCGTTTCTACACCAAAGAAGTCTCCACAACCCGTTTTCGAATCCATTCCCCGCTTCACCTCCTTCAACAAATTCAAAGAAACCCATTTCAATTTTGGGTCCCACCACCCTCCTTGCCCTCTTATCTCTGGTGATTGTGGTGGGTGTGCTATGCCCGTGGCTGGGCATGCCCCAAGTCTTCTCCTTTACTTCAAAACCTGTTATGTCCAAATGGGATCACTACACTTTGGAAGAAGCACTCTCTTTTGTGGCCAAAAATGGGTCTGTGATTGTTTGTATTGTGAGCCAACCTTACTTGCCCTTCCTCAACAACTGGTTGATTAGCATTACAATGCAGAAGCGCCAAGACATGGTTCTTGTCATCGCTGAGGACTACCCTTCACTCCACAAGGTCAATCACCTTTGGCCTGGCCATGCTGTGCTCATCCCTCCCGTGCTTGATGCTGAAACTGCCCATAAATTTGGTTCTCAGGTTTGTTAATCACTTTAATTTATGTCATTTTTATGTTTGAAAAATGCTAACCATAACATTGGGTTAATGAATTAAAAGTACATTTTTTCAAAAGCACAAAAAGATACTTACTCCTGTCATTGTTAATGCATTTCAAATAATACAGTTTTTTTAAAAATTTACTATTTGTTGATTCTTCAAATAATACCCTTAGGGTATTGGTTAGCAAGACCCTTTGTTTTGTCAAAATTAAGGAATTTTAACTAAAACTAAGAGTGTCTAACGATAGCAGCCTAGTTAAGTGTTTATTCAATAAACTCTTATTTCATAAAAAGTTTATACTATAAATTTGACCATAAAACATACTGGCATAAGTTGAAAAAAGAGAGAGCTTATTTTAATAAGTTATACGAAGAAGCTTAATGAAATAAGTTGAAAAGAGCTTATGACAAGCTCATCTTAAGCTCTTGTAAACACATCCTAAATATAATCTGCTTAACCAATTGTAAGAATTTGATTATATTAATTATATTTTATGGCTTAATAGTGTCCTTTCATTATTAAGGTGCTGGTACTTTTCGTGCTCATGTAAGCTGTGGTGTTAATTATTGGATCCATTTCTTAATTTCTTTCCACTTATGATGCTGAGTTTTAGAATCCATGTTTGTTTATTTCACTGTCTAGGGTTTCTTCAACTTTACAGCCAGGAGGCCGAGCCATCTGCTGAAGATTTTGGAGCTTGGATATAGTGTGATGTACAATGATGTTGATATGGTTTGGTTAGCCGATCCATTTCCTTATCTTCAAGGGAACCATGATGTGTACTTTACTGATGATATGACTGCAGTGAGTATCTCAATTTTTTCTTCTCCTTCTGTACTTTGTCAATTGTTATATTGTAATAGCTCTGAGCTACATCAATGCTGGAAACTTATTGCCTATGATATGCTTTAACTATGTGTGTAATATGTATAATTTATATTGGAAACCTTTTTAAAAAAAAAATAAAATATGCTGGGGTTTTATGGTTTCGGAATTTTCAATTTGATGACATATGGTGCAAGCTTATTTGTGTCAACATTGTCAATTGGAACATTGGTGCTATCGTTCTGAAGTGCTATTTTTATTTTCACTAGATATTTCATCCACAATACACTTAAAATGCCAAATTGGTTTTGCTTATTATTCATGTATCATCAGTAATTCTATATTCTATGTTAAAAGAAAATTTTAACCTAAGACTCAGGGTTGATCTTGCTTTATTCTCCTTCATCTACATTGACTTATGGCTAAAGCAGAGACAGAGAGATCGTGTTTGTTGTTGTTAATAATTGGAATCCAAACATTGTTATCAGTCGTCTGTAGTATACTGATTAACTCCCATTTTGTGAATCTATGAATCAATTATGCAGAGGAAACATCACAATATCCACAACCCTACTTGAAGTGGACATTTAGAAATTCAATGATATAAATCTCTTCCTTGTCCAGTTCTTTTATGACTTTTTTGTCTATTAAAGATTAAAGAATAATTATAAATGTATTCAAATAATGTCAAAGGGGATTCCTTTGGGATCCACTCAGCGATATGCCGATTTATCCTTAGTTGCATCAGCAAGATTCTAGTAAATTAGTCTCTGGTTCTTTTTAATTTTCTGTCTGAATATCTGCTACAGTTTTAGTGTGATTCCATTTTGTTCTAGTATTGTTGACTTTGTTTTTAATATCTTTGTGAGACCAGATCAAACCATTGAACCATTCTCATGATTTACCACCGCCAGGAAAAAAGGGCCGTCCTTACATATGTAGTTGCATGATTTTCCTCCACCCTACCGATGGAGCAAAGCTAGTTTTGAAAAAGTGGATTGAGGAACTTCAGCTTCAACCATGGTCAAAAACTAAGAAATCTAATGATCAACCTGCTTTTAACTGGGGTTTGATGAAGATTGCTAAAGAGGTTTGTTCCATATTTTTACTTCCTTCCGGTCTATATAACATTCTTACAGTAAACATATGGGGCGAACTTATTTATTTTAAGACCTTATTTTAGAGCATTTTGATGGTCTAAGGGCTTTTTGTTTCTGATAAAGTAGTGTAACTCGTGATTATAAGCTTAAGGAAAATTAGGAATTTAGGATATTTTGTTCCTGAATTCTGATAAAGTAGCAAAGTGCATCCTATTATAGAAGACTTCAGTCGAAATTCTATCCTCATAAGTTGACAGTTTAACTGGTGTCAGGTCTATACTTCATTGCTTATCCAAGCATTGCTTATTTTTTCTAGTCATGATAATAGTTTAAAATTCGCTAGATCTAAAGCTAAAATAATGTGGCCCAACAAGGCATGGACCCCCTTCCGATGTGGGGTGGTGAAGGGATAGATGGATGCAGCCTTAGCCCTATACAAATGCAGAGATTTTTTTTTATTTGTTGGATTCTTTTGGGTTGATTACAGTAAAAATAATAATTAAAGTAATTCTCTTGATGGTTTTACTAAAAATTGGTTTCTGGCTAGAGCCCAGTGGTGTTGAATGATTAATGTGCTCAACCCACCTAGCAGGATGAGAATTGTCTGTTTGTTTAGTGTTGATTGTTCTTTGGTTTACTGGGCATATTATAGTATTTTTTAAGTTTTATATCTCATTCTGTTTGTTTATTGTGAATCCCCTGTTAAAAGAAAAGAAGCAAACGGAAAATTGTCTTTCATACTTTATCTTAATAAAATGAATCTCTTGTTTTTGAAAGTGAAAAACAATATCCATCAGAAAAAAATTTGTTGCGTATGTGGGGAGGGATTTTGCTGCATTCATTTTGAATAAAAGCATAAAATCCTTTTATGAATCAAATGATAAAAGTGCAGCACTTCTAATCTTTGTCATCCTGGTCCTCAAATGTTCTGCTTCAACGGTTCTATGTCTGATATATAAAAAGTGCAGATATATCATATATGTTTTTCTTTTCATGATTACTTTTTCCATCGCAGGTGGATTTATACCTGCTTCCACAGGCAGCATTCCCTACAGGGGGGTTATATTTCAAGAACAAGACATGGGTTAAAGAAACTAAAGGAATGCATGTTATAATTCATAATAACTATATTGTTGGGTTTGAGAAAAAAATAAAGCGGTTTCGGGACTATGGCCTTTGGCTGGTGGATGATCATGCACATGAATCCCCTCTAGGTGGATTATGATCCTTGGTAAATGACATGAGTATATCGTTAGCTTTGGTGCAAGCATTTAGATTGGGAACATGCTTTCTGTCAACTTGTTCATCCTGCTTGCTGGGTGGATGCTTTCCGAAGTTGTTGCAATCGATGCTGTCAAACACACAACATTGGCTGAATGATGGGTTGGGAAATATGGTCTTTTATTTCAATTTTTTGGCAGAAAAAATGTGCTTACAAAATGTAGATTTTATTTCAAGGCCAAGGGAAGGAAAAAGCAGATTTTATTACTTGTACCTCATAAATGTATGATTGGTTAGAGAAAAAAAGGTTTCAATAGCAAGCTTTTTATTCAATTGGCATATACACGAAATATATTCTTTTTTGTTTTTTTTATGGTAAATGGCTTGTTTTTCCTAGAAGGAAATATGAAGTCATATTACCAGTGGGATGTGATGTACCTGATAAGGTGCGGTTGTTTAGTAAAAACTACATGTTTCAACGATAATCTTTATTCAATTAGCATGCATATACACGAAATACAATTTACTTTTTTGGCTCTTACATGTAAAAGTGCTATTTGATAATTGGCTTGTTCTTCGTAAAAGAGAATCCTAAGTTAATAAAAGTGGCATGTGCTGAGAATCAAAATGATAAAAATTAATAAACCGTAATATGCGTTTGCCGGGAGTCGAACCCGGGTCTATTGCTTGGAAGGCAATTATCCTAACCGTTGGACTACAAACGCCCGTTGTAAATTCGGTAAAATATTCTATACTTATTTTATTTAGACAAACTTTTTTATTTTTTTTTAAACTTTTTTTTCTCTAAATGTGTTGTGCTTAGGTGGGCCGGGCTAAAGCCTTAGAAGAAACCCAATTGATTGAGCTGAAAGCCCAAAGTTATTGAAATGGGCCAAGCTCAGCCCTTCTCTTTGTGTGTTTTCGCATTGCATTTGCATTTGCAGCCACTGCTCTCTCTCTCGATTCGACTTCTCCACCCCTCTCTCCGGTAATCTCTCTCTTTCTATCTTCTCTTCGTAATCATGCTTTGCCTTTTGCTGAAGGACTGAACCATTTCCTCTAATTATTATTACAACACTTTTCTTTACTACGTATCATTCTGCTTCGAATCTTAAACCTGCATCCAATTGTATCCATTCATGATTTTATTCTTTGTCCATTCTTATTTTTAATATTCGATTAGAGATGCATTGCCAGCAATTTGTTACATGTTAGACAATATCGTATTTATGCGTTAGAGAGAAAGTTGGGGGGAGTAAAAAAGTGATTATTTGCTTAAGGCAAGTTGAACTGAACATCGAATTGATCTACAGAAGATTTTTTTAATTTGGCCTCATGTAATATGGATAATGTGATTTCCAGCTTAACGGATGTTGTTATGTACTAAGAAGGGAACAAAATAAAAGTAGCCATAGTTTTTAGCATCCTCAATTAAAATTACAATATTTGTTTGCCCTTGAGTTTACTGAATGTTTTGGTGATCACATGAGCAATTGCATTAAGACTTTTGTTAGTGTTGATTCTTTTTTTAAATCTTTTCTTGACATATAAGCTTTTTACTTTCCTTTCAATTTTTTTTTATTACATTTTATTTATCTGTAAATTAAAAACACTGAGATTTTCCTGGTTGGATGTCAAGTTGTAGAATAATGGGGCGGAAAACTGGTGCGCTTCATATCAACCCTAAGAGATTTGGTTCTCTTCATAAACCTTGCATGAAGGAAATGATACTGTTTCTCAACTGTATGGCTGCAGGCCCTAACAATAGTGATGCATGTGCTCGGCAGAAGGAAGTATTAAATGCCTGTATGGATTCTCAGGTAACATAGAATTTATAGACACAGTTTAATGAAACTTGGCATTTTTTTCATCTTCTAACCTTCTCAGAATTTCCTTTTCAGTTGCTTATATCGTATTACTTGGGAACTAAGTAGTGCAAAAAATTCTTCAATTTTGTTTTTTCAGAGTAAAAAGAACAGAAAGTCTTGGGGGAGTATCAATTATCAACTGCAGAGGCTTAGCCGAGGACGAAAGTAGCTTGAGGTTTTCATATATGTATCACTTTTACAATTTGAGATTGTTTTTTAGAAAGCTTAGCCTGTTATGCACTACTTTGTCTGTCAAGCTAAAATGACCCATCTAGTAACTTGTATTCTCTCTTGAAGTATCGATGAATTTTCTAGTTTTTCTTTATTTAAATCATTTATCATTGTACTCTGTTATATTGGTTCTTCCCTTCACACTCTGTATGATAAATTCTTTTATAATTGATGAAGATGACAGTTATGTTGCATTGTTTTACAATGATGGAGTGCTGATGACTGTCATCGGATACTTTATTTAAGTGGTTTTGGAAGATTGGAAACGCCTTTCACAAATGATAAAGCTGATGGATTATGTATTAATGCTCATTTGATGCTTTATCCAAGCAGATTTTTAGAAAGATTGGACAAAGTTAGCTATGATTATTATTTTCTAATTTAGAGGAGGATATACGTGAACCATCTCATTCAACAAAATGAACTTCCTTTCAATGATTTTAAGTTCTTGTCAAGCTCAAAAGGTTAAAGTTGGATTTTACTTTTTCTACATTATTTATCCACAGCACGTGGGGAAAAGGGGATCTTTGCTACATTGAGTTTGAACCTGATGTGGGTAGGAGTTCTAATCATAACTCAGGAGCATTTTACACAGCATAGATTGATTTTACTTAACCTTCTGTATCTTTTAGTCCACCTCCTCTTTCAATGGATGGCAGATGGCGCATGCTCACTTTTAATGCAAATGGAGATGCACATCTTGTTATTTTCATCTCAATTTCCTGCAATTGCTTAGATGCTATCTGGCCATAGGATGGTTGAGTGCATTGGCTTTCTTAAATACGTATTTCCGGTACAATTCTGAGTTTTGACCTTGCAAAACGTATATTTCAGCACGTTTGTACTTGTTTTGCATTATAAATAAATTCTGTTTTAGTAATGCTTTTTATTAATGTTAAAATTTTTGTTGTCTTCTAATTGGCATACCTGAAAGCTTTTATTCTGTTTATGCATGGCATTCTGGGTGTGCGTGCTTGTTTTGTCGCTTAAGGAGCCATCTGACAATTCTGTATCTTAAAGAGTTCTAGTAATCATAACCTGCTGTGAATTAGAGTTCATGTGTATTCATCCTTGTGTGGGTCGAATTGTAAATAAATTTTTGTGATTGTGTGCCACGGTGGATCGCACCTCGCAAGAAATTCCCGAGTGTTCATTTAATATTTATGGTTTATGGGGTCATTTTCTCAGTCTCTTTTCCATCGGCTACAGTGAAAAAATGATCGAAATCAGATCATGACAATCCTCCTAATTTTCACTAGCTTTAATGAAGTCTTCACTTGGCAAATACATAATATCTCTTCTCACTGTGACATATGTAATTATTTAAAATCCGTGGTTGAAATTAATTTAAGTGTATTTTTAATTATATTTAATTATTTAAAAATTAACTTTTTCACTTTAAAACAAACGGGATAAAAAATTTGGAAGATGCAACTTCTGCATAATTTATAATAATTAACAGAAGGTCTTATGGTTTGAGAAATAATTGAAGATTTCTTTTGTTAAACATACTAATTTCTAAATAAAATTGCTTGATGGGTTAAATGGTAGAGACAATTACGACCTTTTATAATTTGTTTAAACTCTCTAAACTCATTATTAAAAATCATTTCGTGGCGCACCAATCCACGCCAACTAAAATTAGTGCACGGCAGAACGTCCATTTACATCTGCATCATTTTTTATTGTCTTTCTTGTAACTAAATGGATAGAGTAGGATAATTATATTGGTCGGTAAAGCTAACTTTTTTCGTGGTTTATTAACTTTCAGAACTGTTTTAAAAATTTTTAAAAATTGAGAAATTTATAAATTTTAAGGTTAATTTTTTTAAAGTTATCTAAATAAACATCTATCTTTTAAAAATTGACTATTAATATTTTTATTATCAATTTTATCCGTTATTTTTTAAAAAAGTAACTTATACTTTAAACAATTAAGACTCTATTTACTTCTGTTAATCTTATTACCTTTTAGCATTTTTACCTTCAAAATAGTTTCTTTTCTTTTTTTTCATTTATTTTATTTTTTCTTCTATTTAAATATATTTTATATTTAAAAATATATATCTTAAAATATTTCATGTTTAAAATATATATCAAGAGAATTAATTGATAGTAAATAAATAAAATAAGTAATATCTAATTTTAATATTATATTAATATATATTATAAAAAGTCATTTAACATAAATTCCACATACAACATATTTTACTAAACAAAGTCATAATCTTTGTATTTGAAGAGTAGTTGAATCTTAATTTCTAGTAGGTTTATTGTTTTCCATGAAATGAGAAGAGGTTTAATTAAATTTGGGAAGTAACAAAATTAGTTTTTAGGATTAAGAATTAAACCATTCTTTTTTCCTTTGGAGAGATAAGGGAAAATTCTAAAAAATATATTATAAACTTTAGTCTTGTTATTTTTTTTCGAAATATGTAACAAAATATGACCTGTTATATCGCATAATGGCCCCAAAATAACTAGATGGTTACATATTATTTTGCCATCTATTTTTTATCAGTTGCAATGGAATTGTGGTAAAATACTCAGTTCAAAATATTCGAAAACTATTTTGCACATGTTGAAAATAAGAGGATTAAAAGGCAGTTAATCAAAATACAAGGAGGGATTTTAGAGTTTTCCTGAGAAATAATGACAGAAAACTCGTGCATGACTTGTGGTTCTAATTTCTCACTTTCCAGCCTCGGCGACCAAAATTGAAACTTCAATTGCAGTTCTTTAATTCTAGACCGAATAAAAAAACTGCAGTTCTTTAAATGAAAATAGTGGTGTTGATTGATGCAGTGCACTTGCTGACTATTATAATAAAATTATGGACTCATTCATTTCATTTGTTTTATCTCCCTAACTTTACATTGCAAGCTTATATTTTTCAGAGAACAATATTATGTGGCTTTATTTTTCTTTCAAAAGGAAAAACAGCAGCTTTATCATCTCTAATTTGCAAAGTTTTCTAGTCTGAGATAAAATAGTAATCCGATTATCCACAATGACTGACATGGATGTGTAAGATTATGATTTAAAGCGATAAAATTTATTTTCTTAGTATACATGGAAGTTACATAATTCTTCTTTTGTTGTACAAAAATTAGGGTAGACGAGGAGAAGGTAGCTTTATTTTGTTTAGCTATTTATAATAGAAGTTAAAAAGTTTTAATTTATTCTCTAATGTGATTTTATTAAAGTTGATAGGTTAAAAATAATAATTAACTGTAAACATAATTATTAGTCAAGTTGTTTCAAGCTAGTGGAAAGCTTCTTTTTGTGAGTTCTGACATCCAACGTATGAAAATAAACTCAAAATAGTTTAGGCCCATCTCCAGAAATTTTGGGAGCTTAAGCAAAATTATTAAAAGAGTTTAGCATAATGAAAAATATTATTTTTTTAAAAATTTAGCTGTAAAATTATTTAATAAAGTTCCATAATTAAGTAATTTTAACGTTTCATTCTCAACAAATAATGTAGATAATCCTTCAATCTATCTTGTAACATTGTTGATCTAAGATAGGATTTGAGGAATTTAATTTTGAATAACTTTTTTTAGGAGTAGCAACTAGTATAGGTACTGTTAATAATATTCTGTAATAATACAAAAATTTAAATAAAAACACAAAATTTAATATTTTAATTTGAGTATTAATTTATTTTATTAACATTCTTCTCAATATATATCTTTAATTCTGACAATAATTAAGGCGATCGATATTTAAATGTTTACTAAAAAAAATGACTCTTTTTCAAAAAATAAAAAACCTAACAGAGTATACACTGAGTGAATTAACATTTATTAATATTTAATAGCCTAAAATATTCAAAATTTAGGGCCTAAAGTGTCTGTGAGAGAGAGATTAAACAAAATATAAGTTAATTCAAAGACAAGTTCATTTTGGATGAACACATAAAAGTGGTGTAAGGGGTAGCTTGGTTTTGCTGTTGATTTTTCGGCCGACTCAAAATACATATCTCCCTCATTTGTTCTAATGGAGTCTTCCATACGATCAAGAGGTGTTAAGGAACAATAACGACATAGGTTTATTTGGAGAACTGCTTTTCACTTTGCATAATGATGATTTTGCACCAGGTTAAGGTGTATCCACCTTTAGATGGGGAGAGAAGATGAGTGATGTAGCAAGAAAAGAAAAAAAATAAAAAAAGTAAAATGAAAAAAGAGTTGAAAGAAGAATAGAATTGTACAAAAATCATTATATTTCACCTTTAATTTCAGGTCAACGGTTCCTAATTAGTCTCACTTGTGCCGTGTAAGTACAAAACTAGCTTTGGATCTCTCGGCTTGCAGTTCATAACTTAAGATTTTTATTATATTACTGCACCTTACCCCATCAGCGAATGCTTCTCAATTCCATTTGGTTTCAGATAAAAGTTCTCCTAAAAGTAAAAGATGCAGCGAAGCATGTGAAATGGACACAAGCTAATGATAACAACAATGGTAGAGTGAACCATATTGTTTGATGCTGCAATCGTGTTCAATATGGCAATGCCAACACCTTAATTATAAGATTGTACTGATCAGTGTACTAAAGATATTAGTTAAAGTTTTAAAAGAACTTTTTTATTAAAAATTATGTTGAGATGTGTTAAAAAAAATTAATAATATTTTGTTATGATTTTTTGATCTTTTAATTCTTTAATTAATAGCTTCAGAATACGGATTAACATTTGTCTAATTATAATTATGGTAATAGGTTCGAGTATGGGTTTATGACCCTCTTTAACTTGTATGGTCATCCTTCTATCCACATATTTTTAGTGTTTTAATACTTCTAGCTTTGCTTTCACATGTTGATCATGCGAGTGTTAGTGTTGTGCTGTTCTTGAATCTTCTGATAAACAAATCTCATAATTTTGTGTTCCTTTCATTGATGAAATTAATCCTTACGTGCCAAAAGAAAGAACAAGAAACGTAAAGTAAAACAATAACACAACTAATTTTATTTTTTAAAAATTTCAAAACTTAAAATTAACTAATTGTTTGCAGTTCTAAATATTTACGAAACATATTTAACAACAATATATATACATAGCAACTGGAAGGAAAAAAAAAAGCCATTGAATCTCGAGGCATTAATACGAAATTAATCTCATTAATGTGGGGGTAGCAGAAGATGGGAAAGGATCCCAACGAAGTAGTGAATTTGCAATTTCCATGCACAGGATGCTTTTACAAATATCATCTTGGGATCTTTCTTTATAGAATATCGTTTGTGGTCTATTATTTTCCACTACGTCAACTTGAGATCTCTGCGTCAAGTGTGTGAGGGAAAATTACCAAGCAGAAATGAGTCAGTAATTCAGTAACAAGTTGTGGTCAGTGTCAAAACTGCTACACACATCATTATATATAGTGACATAATCCCAGCATGAGATGAGATTTGTCACTTTATAATTAACAAGCATTAATTATAAAATCATGGCCAAGATAGTGTTGAGAACAAGTTTCAAAATTGCTTCCCTTAATTCAAATAGACATGCATGTGGGAAAATATTGATATATAAATTACAAGAGTCACGGTTAATTAAAGAAGAAAGGTAACACATTATCAAATTAAGGAAGTTTTGACTTTGTGAAAAGAAAAGGAAAAAGAAGAAAGAGAAAAGAAAAGGGAAGCGATTGCTTGGGAGTGAACATAACATACTAAATAAGCATAGTTAGGCTTTTTCTAAAAATAGAGGTTTCTTGAAGGAAGAGAAACATTTCGAAACCTGAGGAAGGGTACTTTATCCAAAAAATGAAACCTGAGCTGAGACAAATGATAATGGGAGAGGGATTGACACAAACAAGACAGCGTGAAAGAAGAGGGGGGGAAGGGTGGGGGGCTTTTCTGACTGAGATTTGCTTCCCTTAACAAAACCAAACAAAAGCCAATAGGCTAAGAGAAAGGGAATATTATGACTCATAGAAAGAAGAAAGGAATAGTCAGAGACAGCGTCTTTTACTACATAAACTGAATGAATGAATGAATGAAGTAACCAAGGAATTAGTGTAGTGTAGTGTGTATGGTATGAATGAGTAGACTGAGCTAGCTTTACTGATCATCTAACGCAGCAGCAGCAACAGCAGCACCATCAAAAGCTTTTGGTATTTCACGCCTCCCTCTGCTGTGTAAAGAAACCCCATCTCAGTTGGATGGGATTAGACGTATGCATGTTTTATCTGACACCAGTCTTTGTATCATTCTGATTTTATTCATAATCACTATTTCCTATTTACATATATATGCAACCCTTCCAAATTTATAATAAGGACTTCCTTTGCATCTATCTTCTAACTACTCTTTCTCATTCTCTATCAAAAATTAAATAGTACCTTTGGTCCCTAGAAATATTTTTTATTAGTATTTACTAAAACAATAACTTATTTCTTTTTTAAAGTGTTTATGCAAAAAAGTAAAATAACATTTTTTCACATTTTTTTAAAAATAAACTTTTTTTATTTAATTACTCATAAGAATGTTTCCACAAATCAAATGTGAGGTTTCCATAACATATTAGTGTTACAGTATTCATTATTCATTAGAATTTTAATATCTGTTATTGAAGAATCAGTTTTTATATATATATCGTTTACTTACTCACGTTTTAATCATCATTTATGCAACTCATTCAAATATTGGTCTTTATTTTTTACAAATAATTGATAAATGAAAATTTAAAATTGGTGAAAAATGTAAAAAGTAATATAAAAAAATTGCGGATTGATACTCAAATAAGTTAAAAAAACTGTGCATATTAATTGAAAAAAGTATTAAGTGAAAGACAAATGTCTTTTATTTTGATTTATTATTTGAAAAATATTGTCATTAATTTATTTACAATTCTTATTAAATTACTTTTTATGCACTATAATTTTCATCGACAACAATTCAAAACTTCACTCATACAAAAAAACGAAAAATTCGTTTTTAAATATAAAAAATTAATGAACGATTTTTCAATAAATAACAAAATTTTAAGCGGTTTACTTACATGACCTTCCCAATAAATATTATCATCATCATACACCCGACTTTTCTAATTAAGATTTTCATGCGCACCATAGCCTCTTTCATGCTGGAGCTGTCATCTACATACATATGGACTGTACTTTCCATTGATGGCCTTGTTTTGTCCCTTTGTGGGAATAACCTGCGTTTGAACATGAACAACTATAAAAAGAAAAGAGAAATACGACCACTCATCAGATTTTCTTTTGAAAATAAATAATGTTATCAATACAATAATGTTCTATAAAAGTTTATATATATTTCACTACATCACTAATTATATTTTATATTTTTTTCTTGTATCCCCCTTTATGTAAGTTATGCATCAATTTTTAAATAACTAAATAAAAACTAGCATTATATATAATATTTTTATTTTACTATATACACACGCTTAATGATAAAAAAAAAGACAACTAAAACAATCACTCAAAGTTGTTTAAGAAACATTTGTGCTTGGAAATTGGTTTGGATTTGGACGAATATTGAATAATGAATATATATTTTATACTTTATAGCCCCATGTGTTAGTACTAGCAGCGAGTTGAGCTTTCATCAATTGCATCTGTCTCGTTCTTCTGCAACTATGTCCTTCCAACCTCGGCCTTGACAAAACAACACTGAAATGATAGATGCATTCATCAGAATCACTTGCCTTTTTCTTTTTTTCCTTTTTTTCTTTCTTTCTCACACACCAAAAGAAACCAAGAGAGAGATATATAAATTAATTAATTAAGCAATTAATTAATTAATAATTGAACATGGCCAAAGCCATTTGGATGTTATATATACACTTGTCCTCACTCCCACCAATGCCATAATTTCTTCACATGAGAGCAACACACAACCTCACGTCCTTGGTTCCATCTGTGGCTGTGTTGTATCACTCCTCTTCACTTCCAAAACCTTCTTCCCTTCCCTCCATTCTCCAATATCCCACTGAAAATGAGGAACAGAAACAACCATCCCAGGTGATTGCTATAGCTAGGAGTCAGCAACAACTACAACAACCACAACTATCCTTCCAAAAACCACCTTTTCATTTTCCCTTGTAGAAGCTACACTGCTTTTCCCCTCTTAGGTGCTTACCTACCACTATCTCTCTCAGCAAAATTAACACAGCAAAAGAAGAAACAATGCACAACCTCTCCTTTAACATTAAAGGCAAGCCTAGCTAGTATTATTATTGTACATATATATTACACCACACTCCTCAACCTTTCCCATTTCCTCGATCTTTTTTCTGCCTAGTTTCCACTGCAAGAAAGCAAGCACCCATAGCCTTATTATTCATCTTGAATCAGCCATATATATACATATATATAGATAAATATATGGAAGGTTTTCACCCTTCTATGACCTCTCCATTTTCTTACACATTTCCTATCAGTGGTGCTGGTAGTAGTAATATCACCACTGCCGCAGGCACTTACAACACTTCTTCTACCACTCCATGGATGAACAGCAGAATATGGAGCAAGCTCCCTCAAAGACTTCTTGACCGTGTCTTAGCGTTCCTTCCTCCTCCTGCTTTCTTTCGTGCACGTTGTGTTTGCAAGAGATGGTATGCTCTTCTCTTCTCCAACACCTTTCTTGAATTATACCTACAAGTTTCACCACGCCGCTACTGGTTCATGTTCTTCAAGCACCACAAGACCGGCCGCAAGAGCTACATCTACAAGAACAACAACAACAACAACAACAACAACAATAACAATGGTAGTAGTGGTTGTGGACATGGTGCAGCCTCATCTTGTGAAGAAGGGTACCTCTTTGATCCCTATGACATGGCATGGTACCGTATTTCCTTTGCTTTGGTTCCCTGTGGCTTCTCTCCAGCTTCTTCATCTTCTGGTTTACTATGTTGGGTTTCTGATGAGGCTGGTCCAAAGACCATGCTTCTCTGCAACCCTATGCTTGGTTCTTTGACTCAGTTACCTCCCACTTTGAGACCAAGACTCTTTCCTTCCATTGGCTTAACCATTAGCCCCACTTGCATAGATGTTACTGTTGCTGGGGATGACATGATATCTCCTTATGCAGTGAAAAATTTGACTTCTGAAAGCTTTCACATTGATGCAGGTGGGTTTTATTCGTTGTGGGGAACCACCTCTTCTTTGCCTAGGCTTTGTAGCCTTGAATCTGGTAGAATGGTTTATGCTGAAGGCAAATTCTACTGCATGAATTGTAGTCCTTTTAGTGTGTTGGCTTATGACATCACATCAAACACTTGGTTCAAAATTCAAGCACCTATGAGGCGGTTCCTTAGGTCTCCTAGCCTTGTTGAATGCAAGGGAAAGTTGCTTCTAGTTGCGGCTGTAGAGAAGAGCAAGCTTAACGTACCAAAGAGTTTGAGGGTGTGGAGTTTGCAGGCTTGTGGAACTATGTGGGTGGAGTCAGAGAGAATGCCACAACAACTTTATATTCAGTTTTCTGAGTTGGAAGTTGGGAATGGTTTTGAATGTGTAGGGCATGGAGAGTTTATTGTTATCATGATTCGTGGAACAGACAAGGCCTTGCTGTTTGATATATGCAGGAAGAGGTGGCAGTGGATTCCACCTTGTCCTTACACAGCACATGATGGCTTTGAATTGCATGGTTTTGCCTATGAACCTAGACTTGCCACCCCAGTTACTGGCCTCCTTGATCAATTGGCACTTCCCTTTCAGAGTTTTAATGCTTGAATGGAATAATAGTTGATATATAATAATGTGTTGGTAATGTTGTAACGATGCTTGGTATGGCCTAGCTTGAAGTATGAAAATTAAATGCAGTGAGTCCGTTTGTAGTATTATTGATATTAGTGCACTAGTCAATCACTTAGCGTTCTACAATAGTTTTGAGGTTTGGTTTGGAATCTAAGCAACTAGGCTGTGAAATGCAATTATAATTAAGCAGCTTCCTTTTGCACTTATCAGCTTCCACGTGCTACTACGATGTTTTTACTACACGTTATTTTCTTTAACTTTTTCCCCCCCTTCTAAAAAGCACAAAACTAGGTCTGGTGTCCATTTAGTAATTTATTATATATAATGAGATGTGATCGTTATACTATTGTTTCCATTCATCGTGTCTCCTATGGTCAAATTTTCTAATTTATATCATGAACTCTCACTTTTTAACTACGGGCCAATTTTTGCATATTAGAGATCAACTATTTCTTTTTACTTATTCCTCGTGTGTAGATAGGTAGATAGTATCCTCTAGGAATAATAACAAAGCATAAGATGCAATCCATAGAGCAGCTGACAAATACTACCTTTTTTTAAAAAAAAGAAAATAATACAATTTGTTAAGAATGAACTTCAATAGGACATTGAGACCTACACAATATGGCAATCAAACCTTGTTACTTTTACCTTATTTTGTACATGAAATCTTCAAATTGTCAATTTTTATTCAAAATATTCATAAACTAAGTTACTTCATATCTTATTTTGTTTAAAATTTATCAATTAAAATATCTAATTTTATCTTAAATATATTATAACATTTGAAGGTTCCACAGTTAAAAAAAAGTAGCTTTCAAAATTTATAATGGAGAACATTTTTTAATCATAGCCAAACTTTATCTATTATTTATATTTAAAAGAAGTGCATGTGATATTGAACAATTGTTTACTTATGCTAATATTTTTAAATTGTGCTCCACTGTTGTAACTTTCGTTTATTTTATTTAGACAACAATTTTACAATTAGCATAATTGTAAATGAAAATATTTGTTGTAAACATAAACACACAATGGTTACTTCAATAACAACTTATCAACAACGATAAAATGGATGTCTAAACTTTAGACAATAACTTTTTAACTTTAAATAACACCTTTTTTTATTACCTAAACGAAAAATATTATGAAATTTCCATTAAATTTTTTAACTTTTAAAATTATTTTACATTTCAAATTCATCTTTAACCTAAATATATTTAAATACAAAATTTGAAGGTTTATGCAGAAAAATTTAACAATATTTTTTAATTTTAAAATATAAGACCAAATCTGTAAACTTAAGAGATTAAGATTATATATGTTCTAACCAAATCTGTAAACTTAAGAGATTAAGATTATATATGTTCTAAGGTTAAAAGATTAATCGTTTTCCCTTTGTAAATATTAATCGTTTTTCCTTTTACACACTGATCGTATAGGTTACGATGGATATAATGGAAACCAAGGCGAAAGTTTCTCCCTTTTGTTTTCGAAAAATGTATTTCATGTTGTATTATTTAACTACACTGGTAAATAGTGCCGTTAATATCAAACTGATGATAGATATTCCTCAAGTCCTGCTTTGGCGATAAACAGCCATACGTGTGCAGTGAACATATGCACAAGTAGTTTTGAGAATTTTGAAGTTCGATAATTTATATTTTTCAACCACGATGCTGTCGGTCAAACCAAAATCTGTGTTTGTTAGTTTGCGGCACATGATTCGATGTCTTATATATACGTTTGAATAATAAGGGTGCTGTTTTTTTCACGGGTTTCTAGTGTCTCTCACTCGGATAATCATGAACGTACACCTTATGTTTTAGGTGTGGGGAGAGAAAGTAATGTGTTTTCACAACAACTGCAGCTTTTAGTACATTTTTGTTTAAATAAAATTTGTTTTATTTCAGTGAAAATGTCTTATATTTAGTTATCTAAAATAATTTAAGCCAGTAAAGTTGGCTTAACAATATGTAAATTGCGCACAATGAGATAAAAGAAGTCTTAAGTGTATTTCGTATAAGCGGAGTTTTGCATTACTTAAATAAAACAAATGTGATTAAGCTATTATAAGAGAAATTAATTTATTTTAAATAAAAATAGAACATAATGTAATGTATTTCAATTTTGTAAATCGCTTAAGTGATATAAAGTTAACTTAAGCAATTTTTGTTATTTTAAACAAAATTTGAACAAAGAGTAATGATTTCAAATCTTACTATTCGCTTAAGCATCATATTGATCAATAAATAATCATGCATATATTTAGCTCAATGAATCTTATAAGTAAATTTTCTCTAGTTTATTATTTTAACTACTATTTCAAATTATTATTATAGTATTACTCTCATCTTCTCTTTCTATTGGTCACACTACACTACACTAACATCGAGAAAAAACTTTTGTTTCTTATGACCTACACTAGAAGATTTTGTAATTGCTATGTCATGATTTGAAGATAATTCAACTTTCCTAACTCAAGTAAAAATTACAAAGGATCATATAAGTAGAGGAAAAAGCCAACAACAACACTGAGGAGAATGAAATAGGAGATGAACAATAAAGTGAACAACTATAAGAAGAAGAGGGATATGATACGAGAGACATGAGCCACAATCTATGCAAGAGGAGGATAATGTAGCACAAATGATTACTCTAGACATCTAATTAAAATTAAGACAATGTTTGTTTTTAATTTTAAACATTTGATGTTATGTTATGAATTTTTTTTTTAGTTTTTCAACGTTGAATGCTTATACTTTTCATTAATGAAATTAAATGTTTATAAAAGGTGGTGCTTATATTTTCTTTCAATGACATGTTCAAACATTTAACTTTGCATATTGTTTGTAAATTGCTTAAGTGATATAAGGTTTACTTAAACAATTTTTATTGTTTTAAACAAAATTTGAACAAAAAGCAATGATTTCAAATCTTAACATTTATTTAAGCATCATATTGATCAACAAAGAATCGTGCATACATTTAGCTCAATGAATCTTATAGGTAAATCTTCTCTGATTTATCATTTTAACTACTATTTCAATTTGTTATTATAGTATAACTCTCATCTTTTGTTTCTATTGGTCACACTACACTACACTACATTAACATTATGAAAACAAATTTGTTTTCTTATGACCCACACTAGAAGATTTTGCAACAGCTATGTCATGGCTTGGAGATAACTCAACTTTTGTAGCTTAAGTAGAAATTACAAAGGATCATATGACATAAGTAGAGGAAAGAGTCCACAACAACATTGGGGAGAATGAAATAGGAGATGAATAATAAGGTAAACAAGTATAAGAAGAAAAAGGATATGATAAGAGAGATGAGCCACAATCCATGCAAGAAGAAGACAATGTAGTACAAATGATTACTCTAGACACCTAAATAAAATTAGGACAATGTTTGTTTTTAATTTTAAACATTTGATGTTATGTAATGAATTTTTTTTTTAGTTTTTCAACGTTGAATGCTTATACTTTTCATTAATGAAATTGAATGTTTATAAAAAATGGTGCTTATATTTTCTTTCAATGACATGTTCAAACATTTAGCTTTGCATATTGTTTGTATATAAATAATTATCACATTTTTTGCATTATTTGCTTAACCAAATAAATTTGACTTTAGAGATTAATATGTCACTTAAGTGAATGTCAAGATTTGAAATCACTGCTCTCTGTTTCAATTTCACTTAAAAATAATAAAAATTGCTTACAATGACTTAAGCAAATGTCATTTTACTTCAGCAAGCCTTGTGTTACTTAAGCGATTTACATGATTGAAATACATGATTTTGTGTCTCATTTTCACTTAAAACAAATTAATTTTGCTTGAATGGGCTTAAACAAAATTTGCTTAAGGCCTCTTTTGCTTTGTTTATACGTGTTTCACATATTATCAAGAAAATCTTACTTACTTAAGCTATTTTGGTTTGCTTAAAAAATACAAGGCATTTTTTGCTTAAATAAAAATGTACTTTAAGCTACAGTTTCAACCAAAATTACAAAAGATTCAAATATTTTAATTTACTTAGTGTTTGTTAAGTTAGTTTTCTAAGAGAGAAATTGAAAAAAAAAAATTATTTGATGATAATTTTTTTAGAGTTTTTAAATAAAAATTAAAGATTTTATAAAGTTTTTAATTTTTTAAAATTATAATTTTAAGTTCTTCTACTAAAATATATGTTTATTAATTTTTTTAACTTTTTTCTTTTACTTTTTAAATTCTCTCATTTCAAACTCTTTAATAAATTTTAAATGTTATTGTGTTTTAGGTGTTTTTTTTTTCTCCTTACTCGGATATGTGAATCTTTTTCTTTGTTGTTAAGTAATTGTGCTAATAAGATTTTTTTTATTTCTAAAAATTAGTTATTTAAAATGGTTACATAAGAACAAAAAAAAAAACGCATTTGATTATTTCATTTTTATTAACAATTAAAATTACCTTAAAATTATAAAATGGTTATTATTTTAAAAAAATAAATTAAAGGTTATTTCTAGAAATAAAAAGGATATTAAATAAGTAAATGTTGAGATGAGAAAAACATATTAAAAAATAATACTACATTAATTAAATATTTATTGTATTAAATAATACATTTTATAATTTGAAGATAATATTTAGATTATTTAATCAAGTATATTAAAATAATAATTTAAAAATAAAAAAATTCATATTGTATTATAATATTCACACTTTTTTAAAGAGATGATTGTTCGTTTCAAATAAAGTAATTTTCGTTTTTTTTCTTCATAATTCTCTTATATTAACCGATAACTAAATAATCTCTTTCTTTATTTGTTACTTTATTTCACCTCAAATTCTTTTTTTCTTCTTTATTCTTTTTATTTTTTTAAACTAAAAAAATCATTAATGTGTTGTGTGGTGTCATAAATCTAATTAAAATTAATAATTAATAAAAGATAAGAATGCATGTATATTTAGGATAAAATCATTTTATATTTTGAAGATAAACAATTTGAATGTAATTTTATTATAATTTTAGGATTTTGTTAATGAATGCATTAAGGACATTAGTTAATAAATAAGTTTAATTAAAGATTACCTAGAAAATATATTGAAAATCATAATAAGAACAGTATACTAATTTTATCTTTTTTAAGGCTTTGTTAACAACTGTCCTGAAAACATCAGTTGACAAGTGAATAGATAAAAAAATATTTTAAATTACATTAAATATGTATTGAAAATTGTGAAAAAATAAATTAATAATAATTTTGTAATATTTTCACTATATTTTGAGAAGTTTAATTAGCATTTTTCATATTTTTATTATTGCTACACATCTATCTGAAAAAGTAAATAAAAAATTATTATTTCTATGTAAGTACAATTAAAAATTTTCCATTAACACATTAAAGACTTTTTAAAATTATTAGGATAATTTTATTTTTGGATAAAAAAAAATCTATCAAAATGGGTTAATCTATTTGCCTTCAACGTAATTCAATGCGGTAATAATTATAAAAAATGAAAAATTCTCTCTCTCTCTCTCTCTCTCTCTCTCTCTCTCTCTCTCTCTCTATATATATATATATATAAAAAGATACAAATTTATGTTTATTAAAAAAAATCTACACTTAATTATAATAAAGATGACAAGTAACCTTCTGTTGCAACCTGGACTGAGAACTAATTACAGAAAGAGGTGCTCTCTCTCCTCTTATCTGCAATCTCAATGAGGTGTGGGCTGTGAGAGGCAAATAACTTTTCAGTTCCTTATGATGGGAACTGCATGTTTCACACTCACAAATGCTCTTCTTAAACCCCTTCACTTATCTCCCAATTTCTCTAAGCACTCCAACTTTCCAAGCAAAGTAAAGTTGACATCTTTTTCCACATCCAAGACAACCCATTTGCAGGTTTCACAAGATGCACTCACACCCACTCAACATGACTTACTCATTGTGGGTCCCGGAGTTCTTGGTCGTTTGGTAGCTCAGAAATGGCGAGAGGTATTCTATCATGTTCTTTCTTGTGTCTCTCTCTATCATTCTGTTAAATTGTAATGTGTGGACATGTGTTAGGACAACACTTGGAATGTTGTGAGTTGTTTTTGGACCTATTTCCATTTTTTATGATTTATTGGCATTGTTATTATTCAATATTCAGTGTGTATATGGAAGCAGGAAATTCTGGGATGTCAAGTTTATGGTCAGACGATGACCACTGATCATCACAATGAGTTGATTCAAATGGGTATTAACCCTTCTTTGAAATGGACAGAAGCTACTCACAAATTTTCTAATGTCATTTACTGTGCTCCACCTTACCGGACCCCAGACTATGCTGGTAATGTTAGGTGAGAAATCTCAAAGAGCATGATAACATGCTTGATGAATTTGTTCCAACACTTGGTCTTGCATGAAGTGTTGATGAGTTAGTTTGGTTATTTCTAGGTTTTTAGTTGGTTAACTTGTGCTCATGAAACCCCTTTTTGTACTGCATAGCATGAACGGATACCCACTTGAGGAGGATATTATACTCTGACGATAATCTTATAAACTCCTATAAGTCGTTTTTGTGTTGATATGTGGTATTTGATTTTGATGTTTCCTTACTAGTTAAATATCATGGATAAGATTTTATCATATCAGATGTATTTTCAGTATGAATTTTTTTAATGTGATGGTTGTACTGTACCTTAAAATCACATGAATAAACACTACTTCATTTGTTGCGTTGTGCCGTTTTTTTGTATTTTGTTAAGCTTTATCATGTAACATAGCTTCAAAAGATATAATTCATGTAATAAACTTTATGCTCCTGAATTCTGCTTAACGATCCTTGAAAGTTGATAATGTTGGCGTTACACTTCTGGCTAATCTGCATTTTTGTTCTAAGTTATTTTTTACATTTATGTGATGTACTTCTTTGTGTCAATTCTGCTATTTGATTTGATTCAGAATTTTGTTAGAATATTCAAAATTTTAATTATAAGTAATGATAAGATAATGAAAAACATGTGTGAGAGATTTGTTTTAACAGGAAGCTAAGAAAATTCTTATCATGTTAAGGAAAGGGTGAGGGAGTGATTGATTATCATGTAAATTGTTGTGGGCTGTAAATGCTTGTATTGGGGAATTGTTTGAGGTATAAGGAAGGGTGTGATGTCATATGTAGGCATAGTGGCAAGGTAGTTGTGAGATACAGGACTGTGTGCCCTTGTAGTTGTAGGGATTATGATCAGGTAGTTCTGGGATAGAGATATCCTCCAAGCATTATCCTATACTCTTGTTCATAGTGGACTTGATATCTTCCTATCAAAGGATGCAGGCAAGTTGAGTCAAACCATGTTAAATTTGTGCTTGATTTGTTTACAATGCTTTTCCCTAGTTATAAATATTTATCAAGGTATGTGACGAAGGGTATGTGGTGTTCCACAACACTTGACTCACAAACCCTTAAAAAAGGTTCTCATTTATTTTGAATGTTGCTAGTTAGAGAACTATCTTGAATATATTGTAGTGTTTGTTTGTCTGATTTACTATAGTGGTTTACTCACATATTGATAACATTTACATTCATCACAGAGAAATATCTATCAATACGTTATTGATTTTTATGTTTAGAAGTTGTACCTGAGGAACAAAATTAACGAAAAACAAAACTTGATTCAGAAAGAATGAAGTATTAATTTCATTCAATTGCAGAATTCACATTCTTTATGATGAACTTGACTGTGATTGCATGTATACATTGATCCTGTTCAAAGGACAAGGGCCAATTTCATATCTATCTTTCTACTACTCTGCTTTTGATCGTTTGCATCATGTTCCTGTAGTACTGTTGAGTTGATGGGTTAGATCAACTTGAATGTTCTGATACCGATATGTACACCATTTAATTAGAGAAAAATGGTATTAACTCATTGAAATGAAAATATTTGATAGTGTAGTAGTCAACATCTTATGAACTCATGTTGATGGGGATGTAAACCAATCAGGCTAGCTGCACTAAGCTGGAATGGTGAAGGTTCTTTCTTATTTACGTCAAGCAGTGCTCCATATGATTGTAATGATAACGGACCATGTGATGAGGTGGGTAATACATCCAATCTTTCATATTCTTTTCATGTTTTCTCTGTTTTGATTTAAATTAAGGGGATGATTCCAGTCCACATTGGGATACAGAATAATATACTGTACATATTGTTTTAATTGCTTAACTTGTGCAATTGAATTAGTTCTAGTTTTATGTGTCTTGTTTGTCAACTTATATTTTCCCTTTGTGTGGCTTAAATGTTTGTTGATTTATCCTGATGGGATATACTTCATTTTAGGATTCTCCAGTTGTGCCAATTGGGAGGAGGGCCAGGATTGATGTCCTTCTAAACGCTGAAAATGTGGTATTGGAGTTTGGTGGTTGTGTTCTAAGATTGGCAGGACTTTATATATCCTTGATGGGATTCAAATTATTAGAATCACAATAAATTGTTTTAAACCTGAGCAATCATTGCTAGTGCTACTATGCTTTTATTTCATGGCAACCTTGACCAATTCTACAAAGCAGATAGAGGTGCCCACAATTTTTACTTGGAAAAGGGTATTGTTGATGGTCGTCCTGATCACATCCTGAATCTTATACATTATGAGGTCAGAATGTCATTTCATCTCTAGTTATTGCTGTATTTACTTTCCTTATTTTCCTTATAATTTCTGTTTAGTATTATTGAACCATGGAAGTGTATTGTATTGATAGCTTGAGAAAAAGGATTGGGGTGGTGGTGGTGGTGATGTTAATGAGCTTCAATTAAAAAACATAGAATAATTTGCTGATTTCTTCAAAAAATCTATCAGGTGGAAATAGATTATATCCATTTAGTGGTTTTAATATATTTTAGACAGAAAAAAAAAACATGGAATGTGCAGATTCCAGAACTGGTGGAGGCAAAGCATGTGACAACCGCCTCTGGCAAATTGCATTGGCAGAGCTAGTAATATTATGGAAGTAAGAGTGTTGTCCCTCAGAAAGTGAATTGAACATGTATTGTTTCGCAAATTCAAACTAATTGGATGCAATTTGGATTGAAAAACACCCTAGAAAAGTGAAGGGTGCAGTTAACTAAAGCACTAAAATAAATTGAAATGAAATTTCAAATATGAAATGTAGTCAAGCCATCTAGGTCCTCTCGCTAATGATCAAAAGGGACTAGCATATGATTTCATTAATTGTTCATTAACATGCTAACCTCCAGCTAATCCCAGCAATTTTACTCAGCTTTAAGATTGATTTCCTCTAAAGTAATTTACACTCAATTCCTTGGCATATGAATCCACTTATTCCCACACAACACAATCAATTCCTTAATAAAAAGCATACAAGAATTAGGTAAAAAGGCACAGAGCCTGCTTGTTTTAAGCAAATGTTAAATATGTGATGCAAGGCACAATTAAAAACTGGTAAACCCTTTTGAAAATTGAAAAATTCACACACTATCTAAGAACTAGGGCAGTAGAAACCTTAGGCTAATGTATTCTAGTTGAGGTCATCCCCTGTTTGCTTTTTCAATTTTGTTCCCACTTGCAATTCTTTGTGATGTTTGTATTTCATGCTGAGACACATCTTACTTCCTTTTAATACTCCTTTGATATTTTCTCCTACAATTTACACTCTTTAACATATTCACCGTTCAGTAATAGTGATTAAATGTTGTTCATTTTGACATGCTTCCGCACCAGGATGCAGCTTCCCTCTCAGTTGCAATCTTGAAGAAAAAATTCCGTGGACATATTTTCTTGGGCTGTGATGATAATCCTTTGTCTAGGTTAGCGGCTTTCTCTTGTAACTAGTCAAATGGCATTCTGATGATTCATGCAGTATTTCTATTTCGGATATGTTCTTTTGTAAAGAACAATCTTACACCGCACACATGTTTGCAGGCAAGAAATGATGGATCTGGTTAATAAAAGTGGGAAATTCAGTAAAAAATTTGATAAATTTACTGGTGAGTTTTGTGTTTGATAGTGAAACATATCTTTAACTTATACTTTCATTACTTTATTGTATGTTGATTTGATCTTTGTTGTTATCATGGTGTTTACCTCTATTGTTTATATTAATACTTTTGATTCAATAAGCACACTTTTTTTCCTTGCCTTTACAGGAACTGATGGTCCTCTAGGAAAGAGATTAAACAACACTAGAACCCGCCAAGAAGTTGGTTGGGAGCCCAAGTACCCTAGCTTTGCTCGTTTTCTAGAGAGCAACATGTGACATACACCTGAGTTTTTTTTATTGAGTCTAATTAATGTGGAATGCACATGTAGGGTGGAAAGTTAAGTGTTGTGTACATTTTCCTATTTCTTCATATTTGACTTTGTGTATGTATGACCATGATTAGTTATTAAATTGTCTTAATTAAAAAAACTTGGTGATATGACCACTTTCATATTGCATCGTACAGTAGATGTAGGTAATAAACTAAGAGGTTAGTGCTTATTAGTCATTTTATATACGAGAGAGATTCTTGGGTAGGAAGTGTAGTTACATGGACCATGTTAGAAATACTTTCACTACATTACATTCTTCTCTTTTGATTGGTACTAAATATTTTCATTCATTTAGTTTGAAAAATAATATTTTCTAAGATAATTATTTTTCGGTACAAGATCATATTTGCTTACTATGCTTAAGGTGCTTGTTTATATTAAAATAAATTAAAGTGAAAAAAATTATCTCAAGGAAAAAAAGTGTATGATTAAGGTTAGGACAGGGTATTGGTCAACATTATAATCTACTTCCAACCGAATTAGACCTCAGATAAATCGGGTGGTAGAATGTATGAGTTTGTGGGTCTACGGTGGACAGAATTGATTAAACACAATTGCTGTTAACCACATCACCAAAGCTGCCACAAATCCACCAAATTTGTGCCTCTATAGTCACTACTCATCATTCACACCAACTATGAGACCTACCAAGCAAACAGAAGCACATATTGGAGCATTCATTGTAGCCACCATGCGAACAAAAGCAAATTATCAAAGAAATAGACACACAAAATTCATCCCACTGGTAGACACCACCCATCGTTCATAAGCATCATAGGAGAAGCAATGATCAAAGCTATTATAAAAATTAGATGCAACAACCTTTTAACTTTCTTTGTAGTTGCTAGTTGGATTCACCTTTCCTGGTGTTAACTCATGGGTCGAATTTGAGCCTTGATCTCCTTAGCACTGTCGTTTGGGATTAGAAGAGAAAATGAAGATTCAAAATAAAAATTAAAAAAAATAGATAATAGAGAGAGTGAGAGGAAAGGGAAGATACGTTATCACTGCATCATATGTGTATATATATATATAGACACACACACACACGTGAGATATTGGCACAACTATATAATTTTTTTAATAACTAATATTTTACATTTGTTTGGTTAGATATGGATATCATTGGATGTACAATTTTATTATACAAGTTACTTCCTCCACTTAAAGAATTTTCAATCTATTAAAGAGAAATCAAGCATACATAATAAATCAAATTTTAACCTAACTTAATAATTTAATATATTATAATTAAAAAAATAAAAAAAATTTACGTAATTTTTATTTTCTCATTTTATCCTCAATATTAATTATTTTAAATACAAATTGGTTTTATGTATTTTTACTAAAAAAACTTTAAAATCATTCAAACAAAACAAAATATCTTAACATTGATCTTCACTTAACATATCTAATGTGGACAAAACATTTTTTTTAAGTAACTCAAAACAATAGTAATTAAAAATAATTGTTTATTATTTTTTTTTAAATGAGTATAAAATGGGGTGCGCAGGCAGAAATAGAAGGAGATTTGGAGGGTAAAGAAAGAGGGAGAAGCGATGCCGGTGGCGAGGCGAGAGACGTGCGATGCCAGAGTGATTGCTCATGTGGACATGGATTGCTTCTACGTCCAAGGTTTCTTTTTCTCCCTCTTAACTTAGGGCTCACTCCAACGCTATTTCACTATCTAATTCAATTTCATTGGTGACGTGTGATTATTTATATATACGATGTTTGGTTTGTACTTGTAGTGGAACAGAGAAACCAACCAAATCTAAGGGGCTTGCCCACTGCAGTTATACAGTACAACTCCTTCAAAGGTGGGGCCCTCATTGCTGTAAGCTATGAGGCTCGCAAATGTGGCGTCAAACGGTAATAACCAAAGCAAGAATCACAATTCCAACCCTATTCTGTGCTTTCACATTCATATTGTCTGTGAATTATGAAAATGTTTTTCAGTTCAATGAGGGGTGATGAAGCTAAGGAAGCGTGCCCGCAAATTCAATTAGTCCAAGTCCCTGTGGCGCGTGGTAAAGCTAATCTCAACTCATATAGGAATGCAGGTTCAGAGGTATATGTGGTGCCACTTCAAAATGAGTTGTCTTTGGAGTCATTTTCCTTATGTTGAATTATGGCCATTTTTGAATTTTTTTTCAGGTTGTTTCTGTTCTTTCACAGAAGGGGCGTTGTGAGAGGGCTTCAATTGATGAGGTTTATCTTGACCTCACTGAAGCTGCTGAAACTATGTTGATGGAAACTCCTCCCGAAAGCATGCAAGACTTTGAGGAGGAAATTCTCAAGTCGCATGTTTTGGGCCTGGAAATTGAGGTCAGAGGCTATGCTTAAATATTTTGTGTTTTCTCTTATCACTCTATTAATATCAAGATAAAAAATACAGCCTTTTTAGTTTGGTATATTTTGTGGGTTCTGTTTGTCTTGGTCTTAAAAGTAAATGTTTCATTTATTGGGTGAGCCTTTAATTTTGTGTCAATGAGCTGAGAAAAGTGTGCTTCATGGTTCAGAAGTATAACCAGGTTTGAATCTGGATTTTAATGTCTACGTGTGTGTGTCTACACGTGGGCATGGCATGTGTGTATAACTGAAATGATATTAAAATATAGCTTATAAAAAACCATTTAATTAAATGCAAGTTGTAAAGATGAATGTTTCTGAAATTTTACGATAAAATTATAAACAACATTTAACATATTACATGGCTAGATTAAAAAATTCAAAATTGTTACTTGTGATATAAATTTTATTTAATTATGACAAATAAATTAAATTAAATTTAAACTTAAAAATTGGAGTCCAGCACAAGTCTTTTTGGCTCACTGAATGAGGCTTAATGATATAGAGCAACGACTACTTGTCAAACTGGTCAGTGAAATCCATTTCTCACGACCATACTTTTTATGGCAATGTTGTAAAACACTTCATTAGCTTACCACTGATAGAACTGGGTCAATATAGACAGGAAAAAAAAAGAAGAAGACTGATCATATTATTCACAAGAATACCCTCAATGTGACCAAGAGATAGAAAGTGCTACAATGTTCACAGGGTATTCAAGAGACCCTGAACTATCCCCGACCCTACAATAATTCTGTTCCTTCCTATCCTCCCGTTCCTCTCATATTTCCTTTATATACAATCTCTTGCTAACTACCTCCAACTAATTCAGTTGGTTGTGTTCTGATTCCCTACCCCTCTCCTAATCCTTTTAATGCACACTTGCTTTATTAATGATTTGCTATCAACCACACTCTTAATTTTTCTTTTCAAATAAAATCATGGTAGCATTGGCCTGAGAATATATGCTGGTACTGAAACTGATTTTTTATTCAGGATGGAAGTGACAACAAAGAAGAAATTAGGAAGTGGCTATGTAGGACTGATGCTAGTTACCAAGATAAACTATTAGCTTGCGGGGCTCTCATTGTTGCTGACCTCAGGATGCAGGTGCTGAAAGAGACAGAATTCACATGTTCTGCTGGTATTGCTCATAATAAGGTAAAAAGCAGTCTTCTTATGCTGACACATCTAGTATTTTGTCCCAAATTTCTGACAATTTTCTTCCTAAGGAAATGTTCATGATGTTCTATATGGCCATTAACTATGTCTGATGCTTTTCTCAGATGCTGGCTAAACTTGCTAGTGCTATGAACAAACCTGCACAACAAACGGTTGTGCCACATTCATCTGTTGAAGGGTTGCTTGCATCTTTGCCTATAAAGAAAATGTAATGTTGTTAATTAAAATATGTTGTTTGTAACATATATTTCACTCTGATTTAAATTGTGTGCCATATTGCGTTAAGTTTACATTCTTTTGAAGTTTATGAAGATATCATATGGCTGTTTTTTCTATAACTCTTCTAATGGTTTTGAAATGGTCATTTTGATCATAAAGCATGATGTTGAAGGAAAATTGACTTTCAGGAAACATCTTGGGGGAAAGCTGGGGAGTTCCTTACAGAGTGATCTTGGTGTCAACACTGTTGGTGATCTGCTTCAGTTTTCAGAGGAGAAGCTACAACAATGGTATGGGATCAATACTGGGTGAGTATCTGTCCTTTAACATGATGTTTTATATATCTAGTTCCAAAATATAATTTGGGTATGGTTTTGCTGATTTCATTTTTGTGATCTCATATTTTAAATGGCAATTTTGTGTCATTCTCTAATCACATGGCATGCTCTACCTTAACTTGAATGGGTGGATTATTTGAACCAAGTCTCTTATATATGCATGCTGTGCATTTTTGGTTTCATATGGTTAAAAATTTTGTAGTTCACGTTGTGGTTATGTAACTTAGTTACTCATGTTTGTCCATTTGACTGTCTTCACAGCAATCTGTTGGTATGCTGTTCCTGATTCTAGCTTTTACAGCATTGCAGTACTTGGTTGTGGAATATTGCAAGAGGAATCAGTGGGGAAGAAGTTGAGGGGCGACTACTTCCTAAGAGCCATGGTTCTGGCAAGACATTTCCTGGGCCTCAGGCTTTGAAGACTATTGATTCTGTAAGAGTTCCTATCTATGCTGACGAAAACTCCTACCACTTTATTTTGCGTGATACTGCTTTCAACAGCATTATATTACTGGTGAAACCCCTGGCACTTTATTTTGTAACACATCTAGGATCAGACATTCTCATTGCTCTCATAAATGTTGTTTGTGTTTTATTTCAAAGTTTCTGTTGGCTGGAATTTACAGGATTTTAATTTATTATTTATTTGTTTATAATTTTTTGTTTAGTATCTCAAGCATGTACATCCCTTTTGTTATTTATTTTTTCTTCAGGTTCGGCACTGGCTTAATGAACTGTGTGAAGAGCTGAATGAACGCCTTCATTCCGACCTGGATCAAAATAAACGGATTGCTCACACGCTGACTCTGCATGCTAGAGCATATAAGGTGGCTACTGGCTATGCCATGACTGATCTCTGCATCATTCTCTTTACTCAGATAAATTTATCCATTTTCAGTTTTTCACTATCTCTGATTGTTAAACTTTTCTTGTATTTTCATCAGTGGGTTTATTTTGCATCTATTTCATTTGAATTTTTATCTTGAAGACAGGGGATTCAGATTCACATAGAAAGTTCCCTTCTAAATCTTGCCCTTTAAGATATGGGACTAGAAAGATTCAAGAGGATGCCCTAATTTTATTTCAATCTGGGTTACGTGACTTTTTGGGGATCTACAACTGTAAGGCTCATGGAAGTGAAAATAACAACTGGGGAGTAACATCACTTTCTGTTTCTGCGAGTAAAATTGTCTCCATACCTTCTGTAAGTTTAAAGTGCTTGAATTACTAACTTTTGGCTGGGATTTAGGTTCATATTGTGGATCCTGATACAGGATCGCCTTAAAACAAGTGAGGAATATCACTAGCATTTGAAATGAAATGACCTGTAATTATTATTATAGCATGTGGTGTACCATCAGTATTCAGTATTTCCAAGCTATGTATTCAATGCTTGGTTTATACTTGCCAACATGAGCCTTACAATTTTATTTTCCTTTTTGTTTGGTTGGTCCTAAGCAAATGATGGCTTTAAAGGTCACAATTGTTAATTTACATCTTAACTGGCATTTCTGTCTAGGGGACACATTCAATTGTTAAATACTTTGGCGGGCCAGTTCCATCCAGTTCTACATCAAATCAATCACTAGATATTGTTGTTGATGAAGCTGCACCATCATCGCCTTCAGGTTTTACTCATCTCGTCAGTTGCCCTTATTATTAAGTTACTCACACTCTTATATTCAACTTTAATTTGATGAAGGTTATATGCTTTAGCAGGTGGTGAAAATTGTTTGGGATTGGTTCCCTATGAGTTACAGCTTGAATATCCTGAAGAGACAGGAATGAAGCATTCAAAGGCTTGTTTAGATCAACAGGTATGTCAAAGCAATATTGTCGTTTAAATATAATTTACATTCTGTTATATTATTTTTTGTTTATCTCAAACATTAAAAATGATGACATAATGTTATCTGTTTTACTATCTTGATAGACATTAAACATAGGATAAGATAAGAGCTTATTCTTCTTTTATCATATCTTATCTTTATCCATATCTTTATCCTATCCTATCATGTTTACCAAATGGGCCCTTAGTGTTCTTACTTAGGATTTTATAAAGAAATATGACTTGCAGAGAATTAAGCTGTTAGTCTGTTACCACTATATCCATTAAGAATATAAGGCAGGGTCTCACAGCTGCTGAGAGCTTAGAGCTCAAAAATATGTAGGAAATATTGTTACTTTGTAAATAAATTCAACAAGAGTTTGTTAGGTATTTTTTCTATAAGGTAATATTCTAACATGTATGTGCATCGGAGTTTAAACACATGGTTTTGGTTTTCTATATGCAAATGCTTGAGTAGAAAACAGGTCCAGTCATAAGATTTGTCTTTTTACAGGATACACACTGCAATTTTTCCCATAAAGGCTTGACTGAAGTTTCCTACCTCATGTCACCCCCAGGTACTGTCTGATATTGGTTTTAGCTCATCATTCTCACTTCTCTCTTTTCCTTCTGAGATTCGATTAAGGTGGTTTTGTAAATCAGGAAGTGAAGACAGAATGATGCATGATAAGCCACGTAGAGATTTGCCTGCAAATGATCCTAGGCTTGTACCGGGTACCTCTAGTTCAAAAACAGTTGGGAAGAAAAAGACAGTGGGAAAGAATCTTCAAGTATGCTTTGTGAAACTATTTAACTCTTGATGTTAACATGTCTTAAATGCAATTATGAACATAAAAACTTTCAAATTGGTTATAGTCTAGGACAGGTAGTTGTGTAGTGTGCTCTGTAAGTACTGTTTCTTGCTCATAGACTATCATAGTTCTGCAAACTGAACCAAACTGGTTAAGCCAGAAATCAGTTACTTACCATTAACGATCCAGTCTGTGTAAATAATTTATTTCAAGAGCTGGTAAAAACTGGTCTTATACCAGTTGTCTGTGGCTCTGTGCAGTAGTTGTCCCCAAGGCAATGTGGTTCATACTTTTCATTAATAATTTTCAGCTAATACCAAAACTGACATGGTTTTGAAGGCATATTTTTCACACAAAAAAAGACTGTTACCCACTAGCCAACTACTGTGCTGGCCCGAACAAGCTGAAGGCCCTCATTTCCCACAACTAGATGCTAACACCTTCAGAAGGCAACTAGGGCACACTGAAGTGTCTTGGATTTCAGAACCTTCGCTCTCTATCTGGCTGTTCTAATTCATAATATTACTTTAGAAGCCTAAGAAATGAAAAGAATGACAGTGTCATATCAGCCAATCAACTTCTAGGTTTTCCTTTAACCCGATAAATTCTGATAGCTTATACTCATATAATGTTGTGGAGTTTCAGCCATGAATCTATGGTTTTGAGTTTTCACACTTCTAAAACTATTTTTGTGGCAGGGGAGTTGTTCTATTGTACAATTCTTTAATAATTACCATACTTCCCAGTCTTCATTGGGGCAGAAGAATGTTACAAATGCCCACGGTGTGAAAATATCATCATCACTTGGTATTATCTAATCCCTTTTATTTATTTATAAGATCCTATCCCTGTTTCTTATTCCTAAAATCACAATACTGCAGGATCTCAGTCTGCGAGTGATAGTTATTCAAGTTGTAATCAAGTTGAGCTGCCTGCTGAGGACCCTCATGACGAGATTGATGCAAACAACAGTGCATCTAGCACAGCTAATATACCACGAGGAAGGCAATCTTGGGGTTATAACATTGACGAGATTGACCCCTCTATCATCGATGAATTGCCACCAGAAATTCAGGATGAGTTTAGAACCTGGCTTAGGCCACATAAGCGGCCTAGTGTGGTTAAACGAGGTTCTAGTATTACTCACTATTTCTTACCTGACAAACGTAGATAAAATTATTCTCGACTTTGGTCTACTGTGCATAATGTGCTATATTTTAGTAATATGCAATGTAGCTGATTAGTGATTGGCTACTTGGTTGAGATTTTTTATGGAATCAGCGTGACCTTATATGAGCTCTCACGTAGTGTATGTAAATATGTATATTATTATTCTTTTCTGTCGAGTTTAACGTAAATATGCATAAACGAGTAAGAGCATTTGCTATTTTTTCTTTTCTGATACTTTAATTTTATTTATGTTGAAAAGTATTTTCCCAAAAATAAAAATGGAAAATAATAATTGAAGCTAGTAAGAATTGATTGCCTCAAAAACATAATCTTAAAATGGTGATATCTTTTAGCACTGCGAAAATACTTGTTATTTACCATTTCCGTATTGTGTGCTGGAAACCACCCTTGGAACAATGGGGGAAACCGTGAAAGTGAACAACGATAATGCTTCTTGGGGAAATGCTAATTGCTCCTTAAGGTGGTGCACCTCATTCAAATCTGGGATTTGGGGAACTTTTGAAGAGTGGACACAGTTGCAGTTATCATGGAACTCTTCCGTTGGTATAAACAGGCGAAATTGGAGTGTGATTTAAGAGGCACTGATAAGGTGGTCAATTTGATGATAATATACAAATCAGTTGAACCCCAAAATGACCTTTTTGAATAGCCTTGTTAGCATTTACAAACGTTGCATCGTTGCTTGATTTATGGAGAGTTAAACCTGAAATACTAGAAAACACCTTAAAAATTATATTTCTATAAATTTCTGCCTTTAAATTTACACGCTAAGGTCTATGTTCGAAAGCAAATAGAATCCGGCAGTAAAATTTTGGAAACGTTTGACGATGGTTACTGCAGCCAGACCTACAGGCTGATTATATGTTTTAGGTGGCAGATTATTTAGGTACTGATTCACAATCGAATGCTCAGAGCATTAATATGTAGACATATTCTGCTTAATAGTAACTAGTGATAACAAATCTTTTCTGGTCAAAGATGATTACCAAAAGACGATATGCATTTTTGCAACTCTAAACACAGTCACAACAAACTGTGTTTAAGTAAACAATTGTGAGTTTGGTTTTAGATTGTCTTAATTATACAAAAGTAATTTCAGTTAAAATTGAATTTAACTAAAACTAATCTTGTATGCGGTGATAGTATCGATTTTATTCGAATTTATACATGAAAATAGATAATCAGAGCATGTTTGATTTTTATTTTGAAAATACTTCTTTATTTTTAAAAATAAAATTTTTAATTTTAATTTTTAAAAGTGATTTTAAGATAGGATACCCGTAGCCCATCAAAATGATTGTAATAATAGATTTATCTAACGTGTATTTATGGTTTGTAATATCATTCATATTTAAAATATTAAATAGCAAAACTAAATGGAGTTATTAGTTATTTAAATGATTGCAATTTAATCCTTGTGTGAAAGGGAATATTTATAGCTTATTGCAATATCATCCCAAGTGTATCTACTGCAGAAAGGCAGTGTGAGTATTCTCCCTACATCTTGTTTTCTTCTCTCCACTTCACCGCCTTCGTTGGCGTGCCTCTCGACACCAACATCTTCATTTATACGCCATCCTCCTCGCCTGCAGGCTGCAGAAAGGCATTGGCCATCAAAGATCTAACCTCAGTATGGCATTTACCCCTTAAGCAGCCACATTGCACTTAAACTGTTCGAAGAAACTCCCCATTGCTCCATCTAACATTTTTGTTTCATTTTTTTTCCACCTGCTAAAGCTTATATGACAAGTCTCTGAACCTCATTGCCCAATATAAAAATAAACTTCCTGTTGATTTGATTTTGAAGTTCAGCATACACTCTTCATCATGGATAATACAGCATTTCAAAGTTTTCTTCAGGTCCTTCCCCCTGTTCAATTTGCATGTGTCTACGGATCATCTCTTCATCCAGCCAACCATGACAAGGTCCCCTTTTGTTTCATACCCATGATTTTTGTTTGCTTCTCGTTACTGCTCTCCATTATGGGTCTCTCTCTTATTCACCTTTTAGTTGTTGTTCTAATATTTGTTCTCTGTTCTGTGTTTTTGGATTTCTAGACAACCATGACGGATTATATTCTCGGTGTGTCTGACCCCAAGCAATGGCATTCTGAGGTATGTGTCATGATGCATTGATGTGTTGTGCACTTGTGTTATCCGATGCATGATATTTGAGTGTCTCACTTATATTTTCTTTTCTTTTTTTCTTTTATTGTTCTTTCAATGGCATCAATAAAGAATCTGAAATTGAACAAGCATCACTATGCGTCATGGATGGTGCACCTTGGTGGAGAGAGGCTGGTACTTGCCCAAATTTAGTTTTTTTTTTCTTCTCTTGGTCTCTCATATCTGGCTTGGGTTTTATTTGTGGATGCTGATGATAGTTCATGCTGTGTCTTTATGTAACATGTAAGATTACCGAAGTTGCCGATAAAATTGGTGTGGGAGTACATTTCAACCCCTTTGTTACTTGGAACGGAAAGGTATTGATAGCCTTATGACTCGGTGGTGTGGAGTGTGAATCCTGTAATTAATCACCTTTCAATAGCATTAAATTGAGAATGCTGGAACATTTTTAGTTGTCCATAACAACCTTCTTTTTGGCTGAATTGTTAAGTCAAGATTACTTTTTTCACAATATCCTCTCTATAAATAAATTTGTGCAGTTGTTCAAGTATGGGGTTGTTCGCATGAATGACTTACTTCAGGATGTACAGTACTGGGAGAAATTCTACTTGTGTGGCCGCTTACAGAAACCAGTATGTTTCCCCTTTTTTCCTCTTCATGTCCTGAATCATTTGATTAGTGGTTTTTCGACCACTAACTGATAATCTAGAAAAATGTTTAACCAATGAAATGATAAACATGGATCTCACGAAAAAGAAAAGGTGTCATTGAAATGAACAACTGGATAAACAAATAATGAATGATGCTAGCTGCTTGCAAGGATTTTTAATGTTTGGATTGCTAAAATACCTTTTTAAATGAAATCTGTGTTTGATTCTCAGCTATACATATGGATAGCATAATGATTCTTGGGTCTCCCAAGTGCGTACAGCTTAGGTAACCTGTTGTGAGGTGGAACCCTGACTTATCTCTAGTATACTTATCCTGTTTCTTGAGCTCTAAGTTATTGTGTCTACCAGATTCTTAATTTTCACATTTCCAATGATCTCTGAATAAGAACTGCAGATATTTTAGTATTTTGTGTCTATGCTGATTTATGGTTTCCCATGCTTAACTAAGGAGATTTAAGTGTTTAGTAATTACTTTAAAGCTTTGTATGTCAATCCAATTTTATGTAGCAGTAGTGCAGTGTTATATTGTATGCCCAAATTCTCCAAGTTGGGGAACATTTGTGACTCAAACTTACTCAAATGTTCACCTCTTATAGGCAGACTATTGTCATCGTCCTTCGATATTGAACCGTTAGTGAAACTGTGAAGGTAGATCTACATGCAGCAAAACCCCTGTGATAAAGAGAGGGGGAAAATATAAAATAAAGGCATTGCTGCTACAAAGAAGAGGAAGGGAGGAAGGTGGCTGCATGGGAGGAAAGAGGGTTGGGAAACACTAGGCCTAGCATCATTCAGATAGGAAAAATAGTAAAATAGAAGAAATTATGAGCTGTGCCTAATTTCTAAATTGGGCTAAAAAGCCTATTCAATTATTGGAAATTTTTAGATGTGGTGATCCAATTCAAGGTGAATTTCAATTCTAACTAGTGAATCAATTAAGTCTGGGCCTTGTACTGCATACTTGTATGCATACATACTACAAACCAAAGTTTGCCATATTTCATGTACTGCTCTATTACTAGTGTCGCATATCTATCTCATAGTTTTCCTATCCTTAATTTATTCCTGATCTATTTTTCTTTGTTTTTTGATGCATGTCATGCAGGTTCATATTGTTGTTGATAATTTGGACATTAACAAAACCAATTCTGTTAACTTGAGAGCTGCAGTGTCAGCTGCTCTACTTTTGCTTCCATCAGAATTTGCAGAGGTATACTTCTCTGTAGTAAATTAATTACTTTGGGAGTTGGAACAACTGAGTGGATTCAACCATATCCTTGCAGGAAGATCTGTATGCCAAAGTATGTAGTCTCTCATATACAGGTGATGTACGGATGTTATTTGCTGAGGATAAAAACAAGGTATTCCTTGATTGCTACTTAAGTAGGATGTGGAATGGAAATACTGATGTCTTTTAAATTCCCATATATTTAAATTCTCCATGCTTACTTGATACCATTACCATCTCATGTGAGGAGCTTGTGTCTACAGGTATTATGTGTCAGTTTGGTTACAAATTCTGGCTCACACTTTAAACATTGCTTCCTTTATGAGTTTGAGTTATCTGTTTATAGTTATTTCTTCCATTTTGCATATAGTGAAGATGTGAAACACTAATAGTTGTCATTTAACTGATATGAACCTGCCAGTTCTTGAGATTCTGGTTGGATCTTCACTGATTATGTTTACTACTGAAATTGGTGAGATATCTGCTTCATATATGCCTTTCTTCCTTGTCTTGCTGTTATCCTCGTAGGGACTGGCAGAAACTTGTTAGAAAACTGTTTGTGTTTGTCATCTATTCTTTGTGAAGAAAGCCAGATTGATTGTATAAGGAAAGGATCCTATTTACCTACTGAGGTTCCTTTTGTTGATCATATGTCCAGGTGAAGAAGATTGTAACTGGGCAGTTTGATTTATTCCACTCAATGTATAAGCCATTTCTTGAAGAATACGAGGCTAAGAAGTTGTTACGGCTTTCAACAACAGCAAATAACCGAATGCAAGTTTCTCAGGTCTTTATTATTTAGTACTTAATTTTTAGGAAAATTACAATTTATCTTTACCTTCATGTTTACATTTTAGAATGGTTAACTAAAGTTGGTTAACGGCATTAAAAAATGGTTCATATATTGATTTGATTGGCCATCTTTTGGTTCTTTCTAAATTGGAAATATATTTGCCAAGTATCCTAAATAGTGATTCGTCCACTGTTTTATCATGCCTCCAAGCTTTGTTGTGCCTTAAAATCTAGGATGAAATATCAACGCCCCAATTATTGAAAACAAACTTATAATTCCTTTATTATATCTTGATTCTTGACTTTTTTATTGGTTTGAGTACTTTTAGCCTTTAGGGGCTCACATACTACGGCTGCAATTATGCCTTTAAAACAGTTTCATTATAACATAAACGATAAACGATCATAAGTTATTAATAAGTTCATCAACTGCTAAATACATAAATAAATCTTTTAAGTCTGCAGATATCACTTATCAGTAATTGAGTTTGGCATTTTGAAGCCAGATTAATGTATGTATATTTTTTTAAGTATTAATAGTTATATGCTTTATAACTTTAAGTAAATGAACACTAATAAGTGTATTCTATGAGATGTAACTGTTAATAATGAGAGACTGAAAAAAACTCGAGAGAAAATACAGAAAAGAATTCTTTTATTTCTTGATGAATGGCTACAAGAACAATTATAGACATACAATCTAATGCGTGGACCTATTGGACCAGAATAACTCCCTACATTCTACAAACCTAATGTAATTACTGTCACAACCTAACGTAGATTGTGACCAGGGTAGAAGCCAACTAGTGTAACCTGCCGAGTCCCTACTAAGCCAAATCCTAAACCAAAATTGCAAACATTAAATAATATTAATTTACATATCATATTCATGCAGCAAATATGTGAACAGTAACAGATGAAACTTGTGATTCCTTCTATTTCTGTCCATCTTCTTGTTTTCCACTTGATGTTGTCATGAGGATGCATTTTTTTCTTTCTTTCTTTGGTTTCCATTAAGGAGAAATATAAGCAATTTTTTCCTGCTATTTTGTGCTTTTCACCTTCTTCTACATATTCTAGTTTTCACCTTTGGTTACTATTTAATTGTTGAAGACATTCTTGAGGTTTTATATTTTGTGGATTATTGAGTTTCCACCTCATTTATTGATAATGTATGGTAGTCTGGGTGAATTACTTATACTACTTAATGGAAAAACTCATAGTTTAATACATAGGAAATTTGATTGAGTCAAATAGCTTGTAGAAGCAGGCAAGGCAAATTGTATAAATGCATCTTCAGAGTCAAATATCAAGTAAAATACTTCTTTTACTTGTTAAAACAGGATTGTGACTTATCAGTTGCTTGCTCTTTAGTTTCTGCCCTTCCTCTGTCAATCAGAAGCCAGATGCGCATGAAGCAAGGAGAGAAAATGAAATTAAGTGAAACTGGTATGCTTCTAATATGTTTCTAATATGTTAAAATTGTTTCTGAATTATTGCTTCAGTTCTTGATGCCTAATGTTGTTGGAGTCTAAATCCTGAAAGGGAAAGATCGGAGGGGGTTAGAGGACAGTAAAGTAATCTCTTTCTCTCTCTCTCTCTCTATATTTATATATATATATATATATATATATATATATATATATATAATATAATATAATATAGAAGTATAAAAGGGTTACATTATTGGTGAACTGAAATTAATTTTGTCAGTTATTTGAATCTTTATTCTTTAGATGGTACTTATGATGGTAAGGTTGTACCTCTGAATAGGGGTGTGTATGTCAAATTGTGAGAAAATGCTATGATTTCAGGTAGGGTCATAGATAATACTAAAATCAGCTCAAGAGAAGAAGCTGCAAGTTACTTGCAGAGAATTCTGAGGCGAAGAGTAATGGTTTCAAGTGCAAGGCAGGCCATAGCTGGACTTCTGGCTGTTGGTGGGGTAAATGCAACCAGGTATGTTGCTAAGAAAGTTAGCAAATCCTGGAAGTCGTGGAGATGACTTTGCTGTATTGACATTCAGAGGGATGAGGCTTTGTAGCTTGGATACTCACCTTGGGAAGTTTACATATAGATTACTGACTATTTTCTGTTCTCATCTATCATGTTATCTTGGAGGTAACCTTTTCCCTCAATACTCCACCCTTCACAATCAAAGGCATCATCAAAGACAGCAAGAGATTTAGTGACTGGTGCTTTATCATTAACCTTGCCAATACATTTTGTAGTCAAATTTAGCAGTGGTTTGTTGGGTAAAGGGAATATAATTTATGGAACAGAAAATTTGAATTTCAAATGTATAGACCTATCTGTTTCTTCATAAGTTTGCCTTTTTTTTTTGGAAGAGGTCAGTTTTTGGAATTTTAGTCCACAAAAATATTCATAATTTTTTTTTTATCATTTTAATACTCTATGAACTCAATCCATTCACTTCACGAATAGAATGTAAATTCCTAACCGTTTATCATGTTTTTGAAAGAGAATGTTCATGAAAGAGAAATGCTTAATTTTGCACGAATTATTAGACGAAAGCCATTCACAAAGCCACGTTGCCTGCTTTTTGCCAAAGACTTCTATTTTATTTTTTAATAAAAAAAAATACACATAGTTCTGCGTAAATTTTGCGCAATTATCCTTCGCATTATCTGGAAGTCTAATGCGTGACATAAATCCATCTCGTTTCTTTCTTTTAAATTGTATTTCTTTTTAGTTTGAGCATGGCAAGCTAATTTACGCACTTCTATTTCAGCCAGTGCCTCATTTGCAATGGTTTTGTATTGATGTAGATCACGTGGCACAAATAGTATGACAATTAAGTTCGAATGGTGTGGCAGCTCAAAGTAGAAATTAGAATAGAAGCGAAACTAGTTAAAACTGCTTGGTTCTTGGTACTAATTCTCAAATAAAACACCAAAGTATGACTCCACTAACCCATGGTAATGGAGACAAAATAATGCACGACAAAAGGTACGAATAAAAGAAGACAAAAAAGAAAAGCTTTTGCAAATAACATTAACCCAAAATATAACTGTGTAGTTTAGTCCCTCCAAAGGAACCCTACTGAATTTGTATCAGAATCGTAGAAACTACATGTAAATCAGAAAGTTTGAAACTGCTAAACTAGTAAATTTCACTATTGTGTCCATGAACTTTATTACTATCATTCAAACCATTACTGTGTAAGTTACTGTCTGAAACATGTCAGAATCAATTCATAGAGACCTTTGGTGGCTGATCTTGACCCTCTTTAATAGCTGTTGGCATGTGGAACTGATGCTGTGTACTGAGTGTCCAGAACATCAATCACCCTGTTGGCTATGGCACTTGCATAGACCGAAGAACCTTCAGTTATCTGCCTCAGTGAAACAAACAACCACAGCAATGTGATAATTCAGTTCATACAAATAACTTATAATAACCCGTTTAGTTTTATGTCAAATGAAATACCAACCTTGCTATTGAACAAGAAACTGCAATATTCACCAACATGTCCACCTGCAACATGGTGAAGCTCTAACTGAAGTTCATCTAGAACCTTGGAGACACACAGCAGGCAATTAATCTTCTTCCTCTGAAAGAGCTTGACTGTAACATCATCATCGATGATCCGTACATCAACCTCACTGTCTTTGGATTTTCTCTGGAGCCATGAGGTCCTTATGCACCCATCTGGATCTCCAAAAGGTAAGTTACAGCTCTCAGCAGCATCATCTTCAGCTTGGTGCCTCTTGCACCTCTCCTTCCCATATCTTTTCTTCTCCACCAATAATTTGAGCTCATTCACTGTTCTCATCAACTCTTTTATATACTCAATGGCATCACCAACCACAGATGCTCTATCCATCTATGTTAAAACCAAAACCAACCTATTAGCTCGATTCATAGAAAAAAAAATTGTAACATATTATTTACTAGTACTAAAATTCATAGATGGTGTATACTACCGTATACCTTAGTGGGATTTGGGATAAGACTTCTCAAGATTTTGTATTTTCCATTCAATTGCTCTCTTCTTTGTTTCTCAGTTGCAAAAGGTTTAGCAGCTTTTCCTCTTCTTCCTTTGCCAACAGAAGCTGCGACCTTGTTGAATTTTAACACTCCCATGTCAAGCTGGCTTCCATCACCATCTATCTCATCCCCTCCCCCAAAGAGAGAGCCATTTCTGGAACTTGTTGGCAAGCTGTATCCACGGGGAAGAGATTGAAACAGCTCTCTGAGGGCTGGAGGCTGTGGAGGCAGGTTCAAGTGGAATAGAGGATCATACAAAACTGAGGATGCACTTGTGTTGTCTGATCCTATTGGAAGGTCTCCTAGAAATCCCATTGAATTATGAAAGTTGGGTGCTTTTTGAGTTGGGTTTGTGATGCAACTGGTGGGGTTGGTGAGCAAAGATGAAGCTGAGCATCTGGGTAAGTGAAGAAGGTTTAGGAGATCTGGTGAAGGGTAAGGAGGGTCCAATATGGAAGAAGGGTTATAGTTTTGGCTGCAGTTTTGTGCCTCAATTTGCTGAAATTGTTGTTCATGTGACTGGTGTTGTGAGTGATTAGCATAGCCCATGTCTTGCAATTCCTGAACACTTGGGTCCCATGTGGATTGCTGATAGGAAAAGGCATCAATAACCTCTTGCACTAAATGGTTATCCATGTTGTTGTTCAAACCTAGATGCTGTGGATGTGGAGTATCAATAGTTGTGGCACTGACTCCATTTGCTAAGTTTGAGACATCCTCAGGGTGCTGTGGATTGTGATGGTGATAGGAGAGCTCTTCCACAGAAAGCCTGAGATTTTCTTGAAGGCTATTATTATTGCTGTTTGTGGTGTTGCCTGCAACCATAGATGATGGTGCTACAGGCTCTGCCAGAGGAAAGTTATCTTTTTGAGAGGTTACAGTTACACTTTCTGCCATTGTGTTGGGATCAAAGCAACCAGTTTGCTCATGCATTTTTGGCCTGTCTCCTGTACTCATTGGTCCTTGTCTGCAGTAGTTGACACAAATCAAGAGAATCAGAATTTTCAAATTAAACAAACTGAACATACCATGTGAGTGAATACAAAAATATCACAAAGGAAAGTACCCTGAGAAAGGGAAAACATAAAACAAAAGAAGGAAAAATAAACACAACAGTTCAAATCAACCACCATTTTGAACATTCACTGAATAATATGTTTGAGATTTGATCATTTGAATCTTGTTTTGTTTTAGGTGGTTCAAGCATCAAATTGAAAATTTGAGGCCCTTGAATAAAGAAAGTAATTGCTTGTTATTGTAGTAATAAATTACCTATACTAGAAGGAAAGAAAAACTATATAATATGCAAAGTAGGAAACAGTTTAATGTAGAGAATGCCTCTTCTAATCCGAAGGGAGAGTTTGTTGTAAGAAAGGATGAGACAAGGTAGGGAGATGGTGGTACTTTAAAAGGGCAAATATCTTGTAAAGTATACTTCAATCTTTTGGGCTTTCAGTTACAAACTACAAGCTATTCAGTCTGATCCTCCTTTCTGAGCCCCACATCCTCAGATTCATGAAAAATTAACAACAGTTAGAGTTGAGCTGTGTCTGGATAAATGATTAGGAGCTTTTTAAATGAGAACTTATTATATCTTAAGTGTTTAACTTAATAATTTTTAAAAAATTATTGAAACAAGTGAAAAAATTGATAAAAGAGTTGTGTTCTTTTTTAAAGTTTTTAGTTTAAGTGCTTATAAGATAATTTTAGTCGCAGGTATGAAAAAAAGTTGTCAGAAGATATAAAAATTTACTCCAATGATATCTGCATCTAAAAAACAATTAACAAATATTATTTTGATTTTGTTTCATATAAAAAAAAATGCACAAAACAAGGTAAGTTTGAATAAGTTTTGCATAAATTTTTTAAATATTATATCATCGTTCTTTTAGACTTTTGTTTGTAAGTTTGACCAGAAAAAAAAATGTGTTTGAAAGATAAAGAAACAGAAGAGAAAACATAATACATACAATATTATTCTAAGTGTAGTAAATTTAAAAATACAAAAGTAGAAAGACTTTACAAAAACTTCATCTCTTATTTAAAAGTTATTATCACATAAGTTATTTCCCTTTTCTTGCTTTTTTTTTCTAAAACTAATTCCTAAACAAAACTTTAATTATCACTTTCTTTTATAAATTTGAAAAATTATTCAATACATTATAATAAACACATGACACAATTTTACGCAAGTCAATTTAATATATCTATAATAATGGATGAAAATGTTCTTATTAAAATAAATTTTAAAATAGTATTTGTAAACATTTTTAATCTCTTCCATTTTGATATTTTCCCACCATTATTTACCTTTACCATCTCTTAATCTACCCCCATTTCTCATATTAAATAACTTCTGAATTCAAATGCTTAACTTTTTTTTTTGGTGTATACAAAGTACTTACCATCTAATGACTTGTTTCACATTATATAATACAAATTAATCTCTAATATTTTAAGGAAAGAAGAAAATGTGCATAGTTGTTGTATGAGATCCACTTCTCCAAAGAATTTGCTAATCAAAGTTACTTACATGAAAGAGCTCATGCACAGAATTTTGTTTTTCTCTTTCCATTAGATTGTTTCTAAAGCATTTTCTATAATTTTAATGTGGAAATAGCGTTGCACCAAAAAATTTACATATTGTCATAAAAAATGTTTTCTATTCATATACTTTTTCAAGGTATTTGTTTTTACGAATTATACATTTAACTAAATTACTGTATTTCCATAAAAGCGAAATGTTTATTTATTTTTAAAACTTTTCCTTGTGTAGCAAACATCTTTATTTATAATTATACCAAATATGTTTTATTTTCCACTATTTTTCCCTTCTAAATAGAGTTATGATTTTGAATATCCATGGAAATGTGATTTTGTTTCTTAAAAGAAAAAGAAAGAAAAGGATGGCTCACACAAAACGTGATTGCGGAAGGAAGCGCGTTAGTTTGGATTATAAAATATAAAATTAAGGCACTTAGTGGTCCCCTCTCCATGCGAATTGGTAGGTTAAACTAACTTATAGGAATGCTTTATCACCTTTCCTAATTATTTTATATTTCTTTATTTCTCCAAGAATCATACAAGTTCTTGTGCATTATTTATATTAAAATTTATTAACATAATCTATATTTAATTCTAAATTATGATAATAAGATAATGAAAGATGATAATTGATGAGAGACTAGTTAGATTGTTTGTTTTAAATATTTACAATTATTTGGTGTGTTACTGTTTTTGACAAATAAATGAAAGTGAAATTTATTTCTTCAAATAGCTCCATAATGCTCAAAAAATTATTCATATTGTCTTTTAAAAATGAAAAATCATTCAAATTTGGCTAAAAGTGATGATGATGATGGTAATTCTCTTGTGGGAAAAATCATTCAAACCAAATCATTTTTTGATGGTTCATATAAACTCTTGTGTTGGAGATATATAGTTGGGTCTCCAAGTCGTGTTAATAGAAGTTCAATTTATGGTCATATGTGTAGTTTTTATTTAGAGAAGTTGAATACTCACTTCAATATTCTTTTTTAAAAAAAAAGTGAATAATAATGATGTTGCCTCATAAAGATAATACTTCAGTTTATCAGCTTTATTTTTTTAAATTTAACACTTTTCTTTTATCAACGATGACATTGTCTCGTAAAAATATTAAATATTAAAATATTAAAGACTAAAATTAAAAAATAAAATCATTAAAATTAAGCTATCACAAAAACATCTAAACTTTTTTTAATGTGTACATGCAAGTTAAGAGTTTTAAAAAAATCTTTTAATTTAAAAAAACTTAAAAATATATGTTTAGAATGATTTATAAAAAATTTATTCTAACATTTAAAAACTTCTAAATAAAAATTATTATCAAATAAACATTCTTTTACTTTAAAATTATATTTTATTTTAAATGAGATATTTTAAAAAAATAATTCATTGTATGAAAAATTTATAATATTTAGTTTTAATATTTAGTTTTAAAAATTTTAAATTTCTAAGAATTTTAATGAAAATTTTAATAAATTACAGTTGAATTTTTTTTAATTTTAACAAAAGAATGAAAATTTAAAATTATTTGTTTATTTATTTTTATTAATATTTTTAATTAATTTTATCAAATATAGTAATAATTTTATTTATTAGGAATGTAAATAATTTAATTATTTTATTCAAACAAAAATATTTAAAACGAAAGAAATTCAATTATTCTACTCAAATAAAATACTTTAAATTTTAAACTTTTTAAAATTTTCTAATTAGATCGTGCAACCTAAATGAATTTATATTTATTCAACTCCATAATTTTTTTTTCTTTTTTCAACCAACTCAACTTATTAATTGGCGAAAAACTGAAATTCAAGTGATTCAGGTTGCGATGGACCTTGGCCCATTTGTCCAAACACATTCTAATATTTTTGTGATAAAAAAGGGGCCCAACTAAATCCACAGGATCACATATTCTAATATCCTAATTATTTTTACTATTTTTTTTTTTGGATTTTGGGTTTGGACTGTGACTACTTGGAGTTTGTCATGATCATGTTCTGAGGTTGGATTTGATCCCCTTTAAGTGATGTTAAATGATCATTAATATGTCCCATCTACGATATTTTTTTTTTCATTTATTTTCTTAAACAAATATTCATACTTTTATTTTGTTATAGTTATAAACGCATTAAAAATTACTATTTTATCCCCATTATTTTAAATCTTATATTTTGATCTTGATCATTGTAAATTCTATTTTTCAGTAAAAAGTAAAAAAAAATGTTTGTAATACTTCAAATTAATTATACTTGTACTTATAATTCATAATTTTTTAAATAAAAAGAGTATTTTTAAATATCATTATAAAATAAGAGTATTTTTTTAAAAATATTTTACATTAATATAAAATTATAAATAAAATACAATATAAATTGATTAAAACACAAAATATGTATGAAATTATAACATATTTATTTATCTAAAATTAAATTACCTTTTATTAATGGAACGGACCCATCTTTCCATCAAATTTTATGGATATTTATTTTATTCATTATAAATAAATTTTAGATATAACACCTATTTCCATCCCTATTCATTTATTATATTAATTAATATTAGATAGTAAGAGAAATGGGTATTGTAAAAATTAAAACTCAATCTTCAACAAAACACACATTAATTATTAAAGGTAATTTTTAAATAAATTATTTATTAATATTATAAAATATTAATTAATTAATTAAATTAAAAATAGTGTGAAAGAGAAGGTGAAGGAAGTAATAATTATATATATTCAATAATTTTATTAATATTAAAAATAAGCCTTAAATAAGATATATTAGATTTAATAAATACAATAAATGCATAACATTTAATGAATATAAAATTTAATAACATTATTTAAATTTCTCATATATATCATATTTATTAAATATAGTAATTTCTTCATTTGTTTTCGTTGACACTTGAAATTTTGTACAAAAATTATAAAAATGATTGTTAATTTAAATTTTGTAAAAAGTTATTATTTGACTCTTTAGAGTTTGTATATTGTTACTTTTAATAGTTTATTTTTATTTTTTATTTAAGCAAGTTTTGTTTTAAATAATTTTTCTTATAATTATACTAATAATATGGATACTTTACATTATTTTTTTAAAAGAAAAAGTAGCAATTTATCTATTATAATAATTATTTTACCTATTTATGATATACTAAATGAATATTAATATTTAAGAATAAAATTATAAATAAAAATTAACTGTTTATTGGTTTTATAAAGTGACAATAAAATGTGAAAAAAACAAAGTTGTTAAAATGCAAAAAAAAATGTAATTACTATACTATTACTGTTACATATATAAATAAATATTTATTAACGTGTGTCAAATATGCTTAATAATAATTAATAAATAATATTTTTAATAAAAAAAATTATAGCATTTAATAATTAATATTTTCAATGC